TGTGCTGTCTTTGAATTAGTTTGACTGCTGAGGAAGGAGCAACGGCTACTACAAGACATCTGATTATAAATGCTGTTGGATTAAACCAACCTATATATTTTAAAAATATCTTGACTTCAAAATTTAAGTCAAAAGACATGTTAATTAGGGAGAGAGGTTCTGCTTTTATTTCCACAGGAAATGAGAGGCTGTGGATTCATTCTCATTTAAGGAGACTCAGGCTTGGTGAAGGAAGACCCCCTGAACAGTGTCTGACATGAGCGGATGGCCCGGATGACTCAATGTCTCAAAGCACATCTGCTACAGCTGCTTCCGAGTTCTGCATACACAACAGCATCAAAGCTGCTGGCTGAGATGATCAGGCCTCACTGAATACTCCAGTCAGGGCTTGACCATGATCCTAAATTTTCTCTGGGCTTTCAAAGATTACCAGTGCCCCCAATCAGCAGGAAGCAGCCTAGAAAACTATGCCCATATTTCCCCCTCCCCCTAAAAATGGATTAAAGGCCTGGAATCAGAGCCCAGTTCCATCTCCTTTCCTTACTTCCTTGGGACATGGAGTCAGACATGTCCATCTCTCTCAGCCATCCCTCCACTTGTAAAAAAAATCATTGTACCTTGAAAAATATAAAAATGCATAAAAGAACATGGGAAAATGACACCAAATAGCATCTCTTCCTTTCTCTTGGTTCAGTTAACTTTACTCTAGAAATGAGTCATCATAATTTGGCAGAGTCTAAACAAATAGGGGTTCTTTGAAATGGGATCTCACTATGTAACCATGGCTAGCCTGGAGCTTGCTACGTAGACAAGGATGGCATTGCATGTTATATTCATCCAGCTGTCTTTCCCTCCTTAATGTTGGGAGTGTAGGGTTTGCTACTACATGGCTGCTTTTTAAAAAAAAAAATGATGCCAGATATGTATGTAAGTAGGTAGGTAGATGGATAGATTAATTTTGGGGTAATGAATATGGTACAATATGTATTGTGACTTGCTTCTTTATTATAGGGTATCTTTTTAGGATAGTATCAAATGGAAAACTTCACTGGATCCTCTCACAGCCTCTCTAAATTCCTAAGTGGAAAGACAGCATAGAAATTTTTATCTAAGACCCTTAAAAGCAGATGTCAATAAACATGGCTGGACCTTCACATTTAAATAAATTAAAACTAAGTTACAAACTCAATTCCAAGGTCACAGTAGCCACATTTCAAGCATTCAGTAGCCTCCTGCAACTGGTAACTACTGTATTGAACATCACAGACACGGACCTTACCCGCATTTGCAGAAAGCTCCTAGGAGCTGAGCTCACAAAATATCGGCCCGGAACTCCTGGAATTTTTATCTCACTTGGCTATTCACATTGGAGCTCACCATTCAGGATGCAGGGGGGAAACAGAGATGAAAAATGGAGGCCATACACACTCAATAGGTTCCCTCTTTTCCAACATGAACATGGTCCATCTTATCTCCAGATAATTCAGAAGGAGAACCAGACAGCAGAAGGCATCAGCCTCCCATAGACCCTGCATTGAGCCTGCTTCATGCTGTGCCTTCCCCCATGACAAAGAATGTTCAAGTTATTTTACTACCATGTTTGTTCCACCAGTCTTAAGTCACAGGCTTGAATTCTATATTCTACTCATGGACGGTTCTAGAATAGTCTTCAAGCAAATGCAACTGAATTCCATGGATGTTCCAGGTCTTTTTAACCATAAACCCACTGTGAGCACTCCAGCTGCTTCTGGTATTTGACTTTTCTAAATAGCACTGTTCTAATGTTGATATGTGGAAATCTTTTCTATTATTCAGGATGAAAATCGACAGGACACGGGCCAGAAATGGTTTTTCCGAGTCACAAGGTTATGAGCACCTGTGATCTAACAGGTCCCGTAAATGACCTTTCTGAAGCGTTAGACACATGCACCGATGCTGGAGCAAAGGCTCTCTTGGCCATGCTAGTCCCGCTGGTGTGCAATATCCATCTTATTAATTTTGACCAATATGAGAGTTTCCACCCGCTATTGCTTCATCATTAGTGAGGCCAAGGATCTATTTACATGCTAATTGGTTGTTTGAAGAGCCATTAAATTGTCTCTACATAGCCTTCTTATGCACTTTACCGTGCTACTTTCTGCAGACCAGTTTGTCTTTGGCTGATTGATTAGTAAGAATCACCGCTTCACCCCTGTTACCTTTCATTTTAGATGTACTAAATAGATCTCTCCTCCTCAAACCACCCCTGCTGGCACAATACCCTCACTCTTTAATTTGGTTTAAGATGGTTTTGTCCCCCCATTTGTATGGTTTTTGGTTTTGATTTTTTAAGCTATGGTTTCACAGTATTGCCCAGAATGATCTGGGACAACCTTGGTGCCTCGGATTCTTGAACACTGGGGCTATAGAGAAGAACCACTACATGTGATTTTAAGTTTTCATATAACGCCGGGCGGTGGTGGCACACGCCTTTAATCCCAGCACTCAGGAGGCAAAGGCAGGCGGATCTCTGTGAGTTCGAGACCAGCCTGGTCTACAGAGCTAGTTCCAGGACAGGCTCCAAAGCCACAGAGAAACCCTGTCTCAAAAAACACACAAAAAAAAAAAAGAAAAAAAAGTTTTCATATAACTTGTTGGGACCAATTGAGTCCTGGCCTTCAGCTGCTCTTACCTGCTAGAGCCTTCTAATTGAAGTTACTAGAAGCTGTGCCTAGCCTAGAGGATCAGAGGATGGAATTTTCACCTGTTGGCCATTGACTGCAGGGTATTTAAGCCTCCATGGTGCTATTAAAGAGGGGCTTTTGTACCAGTGATTAGAGGTCCGAGTGTCGGTCTGTCTTTGCGAGTGTTTCCTCAACCTCCAGCCCCTTGCCCGAAGCTCGTGAACTGGGTTCTAGCGCATAGAGCGCATATGGGGGAGGGCGGTGCGTGGCAATAACTAAACATTTCAGGCTTTCCCTTTAACCTCTCTTTGTCAGGTCTTTCTTAAGACGCTGTTTCCCCACTTTACGACTATAATCATCTTTCTGCATTTCCTTTTGTCTTAATGTTTTTTCATGTTACATACATCATGTGTTCCCATCTTACATACATCATGTTTCCCCATGTTACATACATCATGTTTTCCATGTTACATACATCATGTTTCCCCATGTTACATACATCATGTGTTCCCATCTTACATACCAATTGTACCCTACAAGGAATTTATTTTGTGTACGTTAAGAAATAAGGTTCCTTATTTTCTTGTGAAATAACCAATTGTTCTGACATCATTGCATTAGTTGCTTTTGTTCCTGTGGTACAATGCCCACCTCCCAGTCTTCTCTGCAGCTCTACCTCATTCTCTCCTCAGATCTCACTTTTTCCCGCCATCTGAGACCCCTCATCTTCCCTCTGACTACAACAACTGCTCTTGGCTAGACCAAACCTCAGTTTACTCAGGAACATGGTGCTGCCCAATCCTGGCGGTCATTCTTCCAGGCCACTGCCATCGAATCATCAACACACAATCATCTTTAGGCAGAAAAACCCTCTCTGATTTCAACTCTCTCCTCACTACCACCATTTTCTTTTGTCTTCTTTCCCCAATTTCTTGAGACCTGCCTGCAGCAGCTAGAGCTTTTTTTTTTCCCTTTTCAAGGTACAGTAATTGGATCCCTTCCAGCTAATTTTTGCTCCCCACCATTCCTCGAAATTTGTGATCACCACTAACCTCTATGTTTGCCCAAAATGACAGAGAACTTGGTGCTCACCTCCTAGAGGCAACTTCCAGCACGGCCTATGGCCCACTAGTCTGCCATGAGGACGACGCCCCTGGGCTTCAGTGACTCTCTGTCCTCACTGTTTTCCACACTGCACCTCCTGTCTCTCCTCAGCCATCTTCAGAGACCCCCCTAATTCCTGCACAGAGGGGATTTCGTTCCCAGAAGCCTCTTATCTTCTAACAAACTCTCCACGTGGTCCCTTCCAGCCCCATTCCTTTAACTACCTTATAGACTCCTAATCTTTCTTATCTCCATTCCCAAGCTCAGTTCTGCCTTCATGTTCATATGAACATCACTTATATCACATTTATCATCGCTTTGATATCTAATCAGTACATCAACATAACATATCTAAGATCAAAACGGGGGGCTGGAGAGATGACTCAATGGCCCCAAGCATTTGTTCTTGCAGAGTTCCCATGTTTGATTCCTAGAATCAATATGGAGGGAGGTTCATAAGTGCACAGAACTTCAGTTTCAGGGAATAAGACACCGTTTTGGACCTCTCTGGGGTCCTGGATGCATGTGGTGCACAAATGTAGACTCGGGTACACACATACACACATAAACCCACACAACAAATGGGCAGAATCCCACCCAGGCTAGCACCACTGTGCTAAATACTCCCTCGTTCCCGCCTCAGTTACCCTACAAGAATCCTAGCTCCTTTCTATTCCAACTGTGCCACATTCTCTCTGCGGCAATTTGACTCCTCTCAAGTAGTTCTCAGCCCTTTAAAATTACAAGTTGAACTATAAATGTTTTCCCAAACTTTTCCAGTCGCCTCTCATGTGCAAAACTAAAACCTGATCTTCTTGTAAGCCATAAAGCTGTCATCTGAGCCCTGCCTCGCCATCCAAGCTCATCTCTTACCGCTACTGCAGCACTTACTCTTTCAGCAAAAAATGAGTTCATTTTACAAGATAATTAAATTATCATATATAGACACACATATATAAATATGTTAATAAGAAAATTGCCTCTGTGGCCCTTCTGCTCCTCAAGCTAATCTCCACTTATGATCTCTGTTCCTGCCCCGCCCTCTGCCGCCACAAGGATCCACAGATTTCCGCACAGCTAAACTGCCTTGTCCTCAATCTACTTTTCATCCTCACGATCTAAATCCTTGTCTAACACAAGCAAATCAATGTTCACATATAAAATTGCTATGAATTTGGTCACAGGTTTCAGCTTAATAAACACACAAAGGGTAAAAAGATGCATGTCACTCACTTTTCGTTGTTTTACGGAGTCCAATTTTATGAGCCAATATGAAGCCACTTTTGTTTTATAATGTTTCCAATTATCCATGATCTGTGGGGGAAAGACGTTAACAGATTTAACCTCGAATGCTCACCAAGGCGGTAGATAAATGTATTAGCACCGATTCTATTAATTTCTGCAGTGGAAACACCATTAGACTACTTATAGTGAAACTCCACCACTTGCACAAGCCAGAGGTTTTAAATCCAAAGCCTTTTCTTCCTTTTCACTAAGAATAATATCACCCAATGAATATAAGTCAGAAATCTGTAGACACACATATTCTAGACAGAAATCCAGCCTATAGGGTTTTCATCTTGCTATGTTACCCACCTAGTAATAGAATATTAAATAATACATTAAAAGTCAGCCTATATCCAATTAGGATTCTACTAACCCATTCTCTGTATGACCTGTATCACAATAGCATTTCTCAACATATATTCTAGTAGCATATACTGTAGCAAACATTCAAGTCTGGAACATAGGAGACAGGCAGCAAAGAATCTAATGTACAATATTAGTTATGGTTCATTAATTATATATTCCTGGTAATCTTCTTTATAATCATAATAGTCACAAATATTAGTTCTACTTTCTCTTCTTCTAATAAAAAATAACCTTAGCAGGGCTGAAGTGATAGCCCAGTGGCTAAGAGCATTTGTTACTCTCGTAGAGGACCTGGGCTTGATTCCCAGCATCCATCTGGTGATGCACAAATGTAACTCTTGTTCTAAGGGATTCAACACTTTCTTTGACCTCTGAGCATCAGCACACATGTGGTGTATACACATGCATGCAAGCAAAGTATCAAACAAATAAAATGAAAAAATTTTAAAAGACAATGGCAGATCATAAAAACAAACAGAAAATGATGTATCTGGTGCAAAGTTACTGGTTTTCCTTAAAAATAAACACTGTCAAAATAAGTAACCGCTTATCCAGCTGGTGGCACAGTGCCGTGGGCAAAGGTGCCCACTGCCACATGTGACAACCGGAATTAAGGCGCTGGGACACGCATGGCGGTAGGAGACAACTGGCTCCCTGAAGGTGTCATGTGGTCTCCACATGTATGCCATGGCATGTGTCTGCTCACGCACATACAAACACTAAACAAAAAAATAAGTGTAATTTAAAATTGTAAAACATATCAGCATAATGCCTGATATTCAACCTAAAGTTTCTTTTGTTATAGCAAATAGCAGCTCCCCCACAGACAACATACCACTTTCGTGTTTGAAAAGTCTTTATCACCAAAAATGCAAAACATGTGGATACTTTATTATCTAATAACAAAAATATGATGCTCTTATGGATCTTTACAACAAGAAAGCTTTTTCTTGTTTTATTATTATTTCCATACACTTGATTTATAAAGCAATGTGAACAGTAGAATGAGCCAGTGTAAACTGTGGTTGTTATTCTTCATATGACCACTAGATGGTGCCTTGTCTTCTGGGAAAAAAAAACACAACCTACCCGACCCTACTCCAAACAGCGTTCTATAGCTGAAGAATGACCTAAGAATGGCCATTTAGAAAGCGTGTTGGGTGCAGGAAAGAAATGTACTTCTACCAAATCATTTCAGTAACCTTAGATTTTCTTTTCCAAGATAGGAGCTGAGCCTCTGAAACTGCCGTTTCCAAAGCCTCCACTGGGTGGCAAATGAAAATAACCCAAACACATGGTGTGCTAGGCATCACCTTTAAATCTTTCTGTCGTTTTTGAGCAGGGCACTGCTATTATCCTCGCATCTCTTTTCACCTTAGACTTCTTCAACTCAGTAAACTTTTCCATAGAAAAGTTTATCCTGATATTTCTCTGATCACGAAGAACAGTTATTTGATGTTAATTATTCTCACTTGACAGCCTCATTAGATGACAAAATGTTCCTAATATCTAAAATAAAAGTTTCTGGGGCCTAAAGGGAAGAGAATTACATTTCCTATGCAATTAAGTACAATTCGACAAGAAAACACATTTTTGTTTCGATGCATGGGAGCCATGCGTCCATGCACACATGCATGCTGGTGTGTATACATGCTTGTGCATGAGCATGCACACCTGTGGATGGCAGAGCTCAGTCCTGGTTGTCTGTCCTCCAGGGGGCAATTACCTTGGATTTTTAAGATCCAAACTCTCACTGGGAACTGGGGCTCACCAGGTACCCTGGGGTAACTGCCATAGAATTACTGAAATCGTCCTGCCTCTGCCTTCCACTTCCCAGGGCTGAGACTACAGGTGCATGTCATATGCCAGGCTCTAACGTAAGTGTTGGGGATCCAACTCAAGACCTCATGCTTGCCCCGCAAGCATTTCGCCAGCGGATCCTGTCTCCCAGTCCCAGGGAACACATGCTCAGGCTTGCTGGATACTCACATCTTCTATCATCAGCTCAGACTCTGCATCCGACTTCCCTGGAAAGCGGATCCTCATGTCCTTCAGCACAAACAAGGTCTGGCTTGTGAGGTTGTCCTCCTGTTCTTTTGTTTTCAATTGCCGCAAAGACTCATTCTTAAATTTGAAAGAATACAGAGATGTGGAGGGGGTCTTACTTCACTGTGCCAGTATCATTTAAAATATATTTCTAGGTAAAAATGATGTGCTTTTAAATTTTAAATGGACATTTGTGAATTTTTAGCATCAAATTGGTTATTATTAGCAAGGATATATTTTATATTTCCTCCTGGTTGCATTTTACCGTGCTCAAGGTATAAATCTTAAATATGAGTATTTTTAAAGGACTTCCTAGTCTCTTTCATTTACTGCAAATTCTTGGTTTATAAAATAAAATCAGTCATTGTTATAAAATGAATGAAATCACTTGATTTCCTGAGTTTTACCCTGGGAGACATCAGTGTTAGTGTTAGTGAAACAAAGACTAACTAAATCTCTGGTCTAGCTCCAGGAAAATGTAATAGACCCACAGACTACCTCAACCCTAAGTTTCTGTAGTTTATGCTGAAAAGGGGATATGATATGTTAATTTAGTATGCAGAAAGCATTCTGAATAGCATTGTAACCAGGCTCTATAAATATAATTTATCAGTTTTTAAACTACTGATCTAATATTTTAAGAGTTATTTTCCATACAATAAATGTGCTTGTGTCTACAGATGCCAATAAAACACTGCAGAACCATGCATTTCCTCGGATGATTGCCAACAGCATTGCCCTCCTGTACCAGGAAATGGAAAATAAAGCAATGCTTCTTTCTACACATCATTGAGGTCTGTTATATGCTGGGGTCTACGATATGTGAACAATACAATTTCCAAAGGTCAGGAGTCAAAAAGCAGAAGAAATCAGGGGTTCCACTCATCATCTGCTCAACCAATCCCGTTGCCACCTACATTCTGAGTACAGTGTTTTCTGCAACCTTGAAAGGGCACAACCGATCAATAGCTTACCACCAGAGAGTGGGAGTTGGAAGAGCTGGTATCGGTACTGTTAGGCAGGTGTCTCGTGTAGGAAGAAGCACGGTTTAAGGAATGTGACCGAGAGGCTGAAGTTGGTCGTGCTAACGGTATCACTTGTTGAGAAGAAAAGGGGCGCACATCCCCGTTGGAAGGTAAGAGAGCAGAGATGGACCGAGGGCAGCTGACGGAACGCCTCATGGAATCTATCGGTGATGGAGAAGCGGTGCTGTTAGTACACTTTCCTCCCTATTCGGTCACCATAGACTAATGATTAGACCAGGGGTGGCTGGATAACAAGGGTCAAACCCTAGACGCCGTCACAAGAGGGGAAATTTGGAATTAATTCTTCAATTTGAACAGCGCACATGGTACAAAACAGTTCTGGCATAGGAAGAACGGTTGCACCGGGGAATGCTGCAGACAGGACTTCAATTCTAAGTTCTTAATGTGAGAAGCATTCGAGAAACAAGGAAGGGGATGCACACTCATGAGGCACTTGTGAGCCAGGCATCCTCCAAGGTCCTGCACCTTAATGTCATACCTTACGGAAACCTCTGCAAGGAGTGTGTGTCTGTGTGTATGTGTTCATGTATGTTGAGTGCAGCAACATACAAGCCACAGCACACATAAAGAGTTCAGTTTTCAGTTCCCGCCTTCAGCCTTTTTGAGACAAGGTCTTCTCACCATCATCACCCACAGCTGTGGACACAAGAGTAGCTGTCACCCGAGGACAGGGATTCTTCTGGCTTAACCCCTCCCCCGCATCTTGCCATAGGAACACAGAAGTACAGAAACGCGACTGAGCCTGGCATCACCTGGTTTCTGGGAACCCGCACTCAAGTCCTCACACTGACACAGTGATTATTTCACCCACTGCACCATCTCTCTAGCCAGGAGAAGAAATTTCTGTTGTCTGTTTTTCCCAAAGGACCACAGCAAGATGGTGGCCAAGGTCAGCTGCCTAAAGTCCTCAGCACTGAATGCTCACAGCCTCCACTTTCCTATAATGCCACCGTTATCTATTAGCCTTGGGTGGAAACTGGCTGTTAGAGTCTCTGTGTAGGTTGGAGAGCTTACATTTTGCAGCAAAGATCACAGGAAGAAGGAAAGGAGAACAGAGACAGGGTAAAGAGATAAGGTATAGAATCCAAGGCCAAGAATTAGAGTCACAGAACATAAGAATATTATGAAGAATATTTGAATGTAATTTAAATACAATAAACTAGTAAAAAGAGCTGCAGCAAACTGGTGTAGTCTTATTCTCTCTCTCTCTCTCCCTCTCTCTCTCTCTCTCACTCTCTCTCTCTCTCACACACACACACACACACACACACACATACACACAAATAATTTCAACAGCAAAATATTTAAGTGAAGAAAAAAATTAAGTCAAAGAACAGGACTGTTACCAGAATAAATATCTAATGAAGCCATCAACTATCTGCCCTTGTGCATTCTGGGAACACTGATGAAAGTGAATTACACGGCCATGGTAATCTACGGCTCATGACCTGGAAAAAGATAATTGCTCAACACTGTCAGCATTTTTATCTTTTCTTCTGCTCGTTTGTCCTGCAGATCCTCCATTCTGAATTTGTTCTCTGTTTGGAGAATAGATCAGTCTTCATTAAGGAAATATTTTAATTAAACTCACATGAAGCCAGGTTGCATACCCAAATATCTCTCTTCATTGGCTGTTGAAAAGAATTCAAACTTTGTAAAGGTGATAGTTATGAATGGCAGATTTAGGGGTGCACTTCTAAAAGATACTGGGAACGTGTGGTAAAAGAAAAACTCTATGTTCTGGAGAGCATAAAATACACGCTCATTCAAGTTTTAGGAGATGCTGTTTAAAAAACAAACAAAACAAAAAAAAAACCTTGTTTGTTGCAAGTATTAACTTCCTTCTGTACCTGTGACCCAGCACTCCTTAACAGTCACTTTATAGGAAGAGAAAACCGGCCAGTTTACCCTTAAAAAACATTAGTTACAAAGGTCACATATTTAACATACAACAATAATACAAAGGCCATGTCTTCAAAAACAATTCTAAACCATTTGCTCCAAGCTACACTGTAGGTCTACCATCTTTGTAAGCCTAAGGTAAGGATTGAGTAGGTAAAACCTGCTCATTGGTCAGAAGGAAATACCTTCTCAAATCAGCTCAGATTTTTGCTTTTCACCTACATACCTGGAAATTCAGACAAGAAAACTAGAGTAGTTTGATATACTGGTGGTAGATTAGGAAACATAGTTGTGACTTAACATCTATAAATTATGGGAGAAGAAAGTCTTTTATGTTATGTGTGAAGCTATAATAATACCCTAAGTCCATTGACTGCATAAGAAAGTGTTACTCTTGGTCTGGATTTTGTCCTTGGTCATCAGTTTATAGAGGATTTGTGATTATGAGACTCCTACTGTAAGATTAAAGAATGAATACGAAACAAAGTGAAGCCCTGGCTATAATCTCTGCCTAAATATACAGTAAGGATATAAATATGTAATTGGATTAGACTTACTTAAAATTTCTACATCAAAATGTGTTTTATTCTGTCTCCTACTTTATGATACTCTATCTGACCAGGGCTCTTTAGACTATTGGCCCCAGAGCATAGAACAGTCCCAGAGTTGTAAAACTCTATGGAAATTTTCCTCTCCCTGACCCATAGCCCTCGTAGGTTCAAGCTATGAAATAATAGTCACATTAGCTAACAGGCAAGCGATCTAAAACCCAGCAAAATCTCAACATAAAAATGTCAGATTCCAGAATAAAAACTGAGTCATACCATCCAGAGACACACTTACGGGATCCTTAAGGAAAAGAAGGGAGGGAGTATAACTTTCAATTGCTGATACTTGGAAAATTTCAGTCAATATGATGGAACACGGTACATTGTTTCCTATCCAAATATACAAACCTTCCTTGACAAGAGCAAGGGAACATGTATCTCTATGGAATATTTGGGGAGAAATAAAACCAAAGTGCTGTTTCTCTGAATTCTTCATGTTTTAGTTCTTCTTTCCTTGGGGCTCTTTGCTACAAGTCTCGAAGGCCAGTTTTAAAACACATTATCAGGCCCCATATATACTAAACATTGCTGGGAATCAGATGTGCAAAGGCTCCAGCTATGTTTACTGCAATGCTGAGCTGGCTGCTTTGAAACCTTGGGACACTGTGTGCTATGCAAATGGCTGTGTGACATGGGTGTTAAGATAGTCCTAGTTCAGAAGTGGCAGCAAGAAGGTGTTTTTTTTTTTAAGGAAAATGGAGATAATTAGGTTCTATATTTGAGGGTGAGTGCCACATCAAGAGGCCAGACTGTGGATATCTGGGATTGAAGAAAGGAAAAGAAAGAGAGTGAAAAAGAAGAGAGAAGAGAGAAGTTGGTTGCTTTCCTAACTACCCATGATGTGCCCAAAGTCCTGATTGACTGCTTACCCAGGATGGAAGTGAGAAGGAGCAAAATTCAACTGTTTCAGAGCGAGGTGACAGTGCCAAATGAAGTAGACAAAAGGGAGACACTGAAGCAGAGATGATGTGGCCCCCAACGAGAACTCATCCTGCCTAAAAGAGCTGTCACATGTTTCTAAAACCCATGCCACAACTGAGCATACGAACTACAGAAGATAGGAGGACGGAGCCTTAGTCCCATCCAGTTACTACTTGTAAAGTCTGAGAGGGGACGGACTGGGCTCTGGCCAGGTAAAGAACACAAGGGGTAGAATACGGGTCCCCTCACACATGACAACACTTCTTTTGGCCCAAGGACTTTTTATTGAGTTCGAGAGTTTCAATTCTATAGCTCTTCGTGTATCAACGTAGGAGAGATTGACTTACTGGATTGTTGAATTAGTTTGCAGTGACTGGTGTGTTTAAGGTTATACGGGGCTTGTTCTCGTCTCTTCTGGCACAGTTCCTTTTCATTCTCATCCAGTTCTGAACTGCTGCTGCTGCTGCTGCTGCTGTCATAGCTGCTCTCGCTGCTGTAGTAAGACTTCTGTTTCTTCATCACCTCCGCGCATTCTGGCATGCAACACAGGGGCTGAAACACAGTGACATGCCATGCATTTAGAATCCCCTGGATAGTCATTATTTTTAATCCCCCCACCCCCATGCTCGCTGCCTATTGGTGAATATGGAAGTCTCTCTCTACTGCTTCGTACTTTTTAGCCAATAGAGCACACACTGCTGTGAATACTCCTTCTCCAATTATATGGCTCAGTCCTGATGAGGACAATGCTGTTTCTATATAACTGCAATTAAAAAGTATAGTTTCTGCAAACAAAGAACAAAAATATTTGATCGAAAAAATATAACTATCATAAGCCATAATCTGCTTTTGTTCACTCTACTTAGAGGTGCTGTGGGAACTCCTTCAGCCAATAACCTTTAAGATACCAGATACTATAAATGCAGCTGTAAAACGTGCCATGCATGTTCTCTCTCTCCTCTCTCTCTCTCTCTCTCTCTCTCTCTCTCTCTCTCTCTCTTTCTCCCTCTGCTGCTCAATTCAGTTCCTGTTCCCCATTCATGCAGAGGACTGTGATCTGTTGTGAGTCTACCCCTAAATAAAGAACCCCTTATTATACTCAGTTCTGAGCTAGTGTGGGACTACTTTATAGCATCCATCTACACAGAGAGATTAGACATCAAGATTCATCCACTCAAAAGTGAGTGGGGGTGGGGAGGGAGAAAGACAGGCAAGAAGGACAAAGGAACTAAGGAAAACCATTAGAAGATCATGCCTTCAAGCCAGGAGGTGGTGGCACAAGCCATTAACCCTAATACTCAGTAGATAGAGGCTTGCAGAGCTCTGTGAGTTTGAGGACAGCCTGATCTACAAAAATAGTTCCAGGACAGCCAAAGAGGTTATGCAGAGAAATCCTGTCTCGAAAAAAAAAAAAAAAATCGGCTCAGATGATGTGCCGGAAGTAAGGCAGTGCTCACATAATCTCACGTGCCTAGCTCATGGTTGATATTTATTCATTCGTTTGTTTATTTATTTATTTAGAATCGAACCCAAGGCTGGTCTCATCAAGCTTTTCTGTATATTTGGGAAAATAAACATTTTACTCAATTTGTTATGGATGACTTGAGACCTTTCATAGAGAATTTCTAACTTTGACACAGTTTGGCCACAGTGGGTTAACTGCTTTGTCATCAGTATGACATCTTACAACATGGGATAGGAAAATCATTATGGTATGAAGCTTTTTGAACAGAGTGACTCTGCGCAGGTCTGATTAGCGTGGCGCTATGCCCTAATATTTTCAATAGAATCAGTCTACTTCCACTCCTCATGATAGATAAAGATACCAGGTGAAGGGACAGCAAGAGAGATGGGACGGCCTCACTTCAGAAAGTGTGTGCAAGACAGTTCTGTAAATGAGTTATTTTAAGCCTGCTTGCTAAACCCACCATACACCCCCTGTTCCTGCTGAGACAGGCTGCTGCAGTTGGAAACTAGTGGCTTTGTTGTTATTGTATATCATAATGAATTCTTTGGATGCCATGGGAGTTTACGGAAAGAAGCTATGTCCCTCCAGTGTGACCGTGTAGGATGAGAGGAGGAAGGGAGAAACATTCTAAGAAGCATCTAGAATACAAAGCAATCCAAAGCATGATGATGTAAAAGTTACAGCTTGTGCCAAAAAAAAAAAATGAAATACAACTAAAGCTGGAAAGGAGCTGAACACACTAGGTACCAACTTGTCTTTAAACATATGCTCTCCTTTTGATAGTCTAATATTTACAGAGTACTAAAAATGTTCAAGCAGAAATACATAAAAACGTTTGCCAGTAGCACAGTCATCAAACACACTGACAACCTTGGCAAACATGAACCCCAGAGAAAAGATGTCTCTTCAGAAGTTTAGCATGCCCCGAGAGAACAGTGGCACAATCGAGTTTGCAGGATGCCTTCCTTCAAGCAGAACACAGCTTATGCTTTCCCAGACATTGGCTACATAATTGTTCAGCCCTATACAAAAAAAGTCTCAGAGGAAGTGGACTGCCGAACCTTTGTGTTTCGCAAGCATACTGGTCAATCGATAAGTAAATAGGAGTCATAGCAATACAAACTCCCAGTAGAACGCCAAGATGGGATTTCGAAAGTGCAGTGACACAAATTGTGCTACTTGATTTTATTTACAGTTTAATTATGAAACCGAGAAGATATAAAAATAAATCAATGTATAGATATAAACAATTTATGGGCACCAACTTAAGAACATCACTACTACTTTATGTGTTATTTGTGGCTAATTAATGTTCCTAAAATTTTTAAATAAGTAAGACACTATTATTCATCCTTGCACAAAGTTAACAAAGGACATTTCAAAGTAATCTTCAACTAATGAAGACCTTGGTGACAGGTGTTCACCATGAAGCACTGTCCCTCTGAAATGGGAGCTCTCTTTAGACGTTTGGGTCACATTAGACACCCTGATGAAACTTAAATAAAAACTATAGATACTGTTCTACATTAATTGTGCTGTGCTCATCTACTTAGAAATGCTTCTGACTTTAACTAAATAATTAATTATGGAATTACCCAATCCATTTCATTTCAGCAAATACACTGTTAACTCTTCCTGTTCACCTCAGATGACAGAAGTTGGAAAATACACAATGGGCGCTCTTCCCTGAAACCCATCACACTTTCCTTTGGATGGTAAGTCTAATATGAAGGAAAATATATGATGCCTCAGGGCCTTTGTAGCATGGACGTGATGTCCCCAGGTAGTCTCAAGCTGGCTTTGGCAAACTGTGGTGATTGTTATGCAAATCTTAGAAACTCCAGGGGTACAACTGGTTGGTGCAAGGTACCTATAAGATATTCAAAGCTTGGGGCTGGAGATATGGCTCAGTGGTTAAGAGCACTGACTGCTCTTCCAGAGGACCCGGGTTCAATTCCCAGCACCCACATGGCAGCTCACAACTGTCTGAAGATCCAGTTGCAGGGGATCTGACACCTTCACACCAATGCACATAAAATAAAGTTAAATAAGGCATAAAAATACTAAAAAAAAAAAAGATATTCAAAGCTTAAAAACTCCTCAAATGTTTCCACAAATGGAGTCATGATTCATAAGGGCATTCACTTTTCTAAATAATCTAAGTATACTGTCTCACAGGAATTTTCAGCTGAGAATAATGTCTAACATCTGAGGTCTTCACACATGTACACCTTGCCAGGATCCCCTTGCATTATTTCCAATTCTCCCTCCTAAAGTCACAAACTCCCACACTTCCCTCATACCTGGTACAGCAGCATCACAACTACAGGGCTCTGTCTGGAATGTCCCTCTTCAACCACATGAGCAGGGCTCATTTTGCAACTCCAGTTCAAATGGAAATTCTGCCAGGAAGCTGTCTTCTGTCAACCCTTGTCATTTACACTCTATTCAAACACTCACCTCTTACACCTTGCTTTGACAAATACCTATCTACTCTCCAGCTAGCTAATAAGGATCTTTTGAGCACATTCAACAGTTCTGACCAATAGATTTGGGGGACATGTGATGTGTTAGGCACTCTTAGGTGCTACAGATAAGTTGAAAATCCATTTCTCACCTTCAAGGTATTCACAATCTCACACAAATAACGACTCATCACAAAAGCTCTAAAATGGCATAACTTATGGGAAAGAGGTGGAGGAGGAGTTAGAAAACTTAAGTCTACATGGTGGTACCAGGGCAAATTCACAGAGTATCATGGTGTAGCTTTGTTTGGAGGGAGTCTCAACTGATCTAGCAATGTATCGATGAGGGTTCTTTTCTCCACTGTTTTACTAACAGGTATTAAAGCATGAAAGCCTAACGAACATGTGTATGAATGCAGAGATGGCTTGAAAATGCCATAAATATAGATATAAATAGAGATAAAAAGCAACACACTGATAAATGTGCCTATGATTTCTCAAATTCAACTTCTTGCTTCCCTGCTGCTGAAGAATGTGTCATATATGAAACTGTAGAACATCACCACAAAACAGATGTTAAGTAAAGCAAACATCTGCCTCTCTTTGCCTACACAACAGCTTTTCCCATTCCTAAGTGCTGAATCTATCTTTATGGACACAATGTCAATGTCACTGAGTCAGCAAAAGAAGAGCTCCCCAAGACAACACAGCACAGAGATCCTGATATCAGTGCTTATTATACGCCGTTCACATGGCTATGCTGTGGAGCTGACCCAAATGTCAACAGCAGAGGAACAGACACGGAAAATGTGGTCCACATACACAGTGAAATTATCAGCCATTAAGAAATCAAATTCAAGAGGCTGGAGAGATGGCTCAGTGGTTAAGAGCATTGCATGCTCTTCCAAAGGTCCTGAGTTCAATTCCCAGCAACCACATGGTGGCTCACAACCATCTGTAATGCCCTCTTCTGGCCTTCAGGCATACACACAGACAGAATATTGTATACATAATAAATTAATTAATTAATTAAAAAGGAAACCAAATTCGTGTCCTTTATAGAAAAACAGATGCAATTGGAGATAGCCCTACCAAGTGAACTAAGACAGTCACAGATAAATATTGCATATTTTCTCTCGGTTGTGGTTCCTGGATTTTATACAGATACATAAAACCATGCACACATATTTAATATGATAGTAAGAATAAAAAAGTTCAGGAAGACAAGGGAAACTAATGGCATGAGAGGAGGGCAAGGAAAGGGAGAGCCGGATCATGCTAAACCAAACATACAATGTGGACATGCACAGTACGGCAACTAGACAGATAGAAGGGGCTCCCTATTAGCAATGTGGACATGCACTGTACAGGAATTAGATAAACAGACATAATGACTCCCCATTAATGTATCTCTAGAGTCACCATCTGCATTATCTATAATCCTATACATTTCTTTGTTAGTTATTTATCTGGGACTAGAACAAAAGCCTGACTTTGAACTTGGAAGAGGTAAGTCCTCCTCACTCCAGCCTATCTGAGTCACTAAGCATCCATTAGCACTTGGCAAGGAACCAAAAATCTAAAGGCAGCCAAAGAAAGAACACCTGTGAGTGTGAGATAACACCATTTGCCTGGTTTTACCTTTACTGGACACAAAATTCCTGAAGTTCCTATGCATCATAGCTCTTACAGGAAATACCTAGGAGGAATGGCTTCCCCTTGTGACATGGACTTTGGCACTATGCAAGGCAGAGACATTTCACCTTTGGTCCTCGGATTCTGGCAGTTTTTCCCATCAGCTTTTCATCATCAATTTCACATTGTTCCAGGAGATCCAAAATATCTTCCTCCTTCAAAAACATGATTAGAATTGTGATCACTAAGCAAATATAGACCTTTTACAAGTTCATTAATCTCGTCCAGCTCATGTTCAGTGATTATTCTAGAAGCTATGCAGTGGTAATTACTCGTACAAAAGAAGGAAATATAAAAGACAAACTCTCCAAGAAACTTACCAAATCTGATGATAAGCACAATACACAGCTAAGTCCATTGTGCAATCACCATATGCAAGTAAGTCCTTTCCAGCATACTACAAAAATCCCAGAACCCCCAACTTTACTAAGTGAGTTCACTGAGCACTAAGATGTGTAAAAGTCCATGCTCATTTCCCAGACTTCATCCTATTAATCATTCCTATACTGATTAGTATAATTTAATATTAAAACTCGACCCATGAAAACTGGCCTGAACGTTTCATTTAGAAAGAATTTAACATTAGAATTTGGTTAATGGGAACCATTTAGTGAAGCTACTTAGAAACATTTGTTATTGCAAGAATATTTTACAGCCTTAGGAAATATTTTCATTCTAGGACCATTACTGGTAGAGGAAATCTCTACGTACCCCAATAGCTTCCTCTGCTCCTCTAAATTTATTTTGAAGCCAAAGGTAAAAAATATGAGACTATACACCACCATTGGAAGTTGAACAAACCTGAACAACTGAATAATAAATCACCTCATTGTGTGATCCAGGCATGAACACTAACAAAACTATGTTCATATAACTGTGATTTAAACTTCAATATCCCCTTAAAGTTTACTGAAGAAAAAAAAAACTAGGAATCACAGCTCATAATAGAAGTGTATTCCAGTCTAGGAAAGATGGCTCTTAAAATGCAAAAGACTTGGCCTATGATCCTACAACAGAGTATACGGACAGCATCATTACAAACTCAATATCAAGGAAGATTTTGTTCAGAAGAAACATAATAATGAAAAATATTTTCATCCTAAAAACTCCAGATGAACTAATAGTCGCATATTTTAAAAGAGAAAGCTACAGATGAACAAAGAGTAAAGAAACTAAATTCTCCAGATAGGGTTAGGTTCTTCCCTAGAGAGCAGAGAGGTCGCTTTCCACTTTGGGGTCCTCCATCAAATCTTGGCAGAGGCTGCCATGGATAACTTCTACTGGGTAAAGTCTGTCACCTTTAGACATTATCAGGGTGATATATGAAGAGAGCCCACACAGAAATAGAGACCTTCAGCCAGCTCCCAGGTGTGCCAACATCTTATGTGACTTCCCAGACAAGTGAGTGAGGTCACCTAGGCATGCTAGCCCCAGTTAAAGGCAAGCATGTCTTCCCACACACAATTCATTCCAAAGAAAGATCAGAAACCATTCAGCTGTTACCAGTCAGGACCAAACAATAAGAAGCAAATAAATACAGAAGTTTGTTATGCTGCAATATATAACTAGTAGATCTTTCATTAAGATAAAGGGATAAAGAAGGGGAGAAAGAAAGAGGGAGGAGAAAAGTAGAGAAAATGTACAAGGGAAAAGAAAAAAATGAGAGAGATGAGAAGAGGAGAAAGGAGAAGGATACAGAAGTAATGTGGGATGTCTTTCTGTACACTGTGAATATATGTTGCTTTTACTGATTGATGAATAAAGCTGCTTTGGCCCATAGCACAGCAGAATATAGTCGGGCAGGAAATCCAAGCACAGGGACAGGTGAAGAGGGGCAGGGTCAAGAAAGACATCAACAGTAGCCAGAGGAGTAAGATGCCAAAGCATTACCAATAAGCCCTGGGTCATCTGGTGATACACAGATTAATAGAAATGAGTAAATTTAAAAGTAAGAGCTAGCTAGTAAAAAGCCTGAGCCAATGGCCAAACAATTATAATTAATATTAACCCTTTGAGTGATTATTTTATAAGCAGCTGTGGGACTGGGCAGGACACAGAAAATTTCCAGATAAAAGGAATAGAGATAAGGGGAAATGAAACAGATAAATAAAATGAAAGAGAGATGTGAGGGAGCATTTTATTTTTTAAAGATTTCTGAGACAGGGCCTTGCTCTGTAGCCCAGGCTGCTCTTAAACTCAATATGCCATCTAAGCAATCCTTCTGCCTCAGTTTCCCAATTGTTAGGACCTCATGCCTGTGTTTAATTACGTGCTCTCATTTGCCAAGTCTATGTAGCATCAAGACAAACTACTGCAGTGTTGACTATAATTTAAACCAGAGTGTCCCAAGTCATTGGGTTACTGCCATGCATTTCTTTATCCAGTTTCAGACATAAATCTATATTAGAAGAGATATTATAATATAATGAAATTACAATGCAATATCAGAATTATCTGCTCAAAGTTTATCCTGGTATGTATATTATTTATGAAGTTCCTTGGTTTTCTCTGAAATGTAACCACCTCAAAGAAAATTGTTTCTAAATGTGTGGCTAGGGTGGCACCCAATCTGTGTGTGTGTGTGTGTAAATGTGTGTATTTGTATAAGTACATGTATGTATGTGCATATATGTATGCCTGTGTACGTCTGTGTATATGTGTGTATGAAGTGTTTGTGTGTATGTGTATCTGAGTTCACATGTATGTATGTATTTGTATGGGTGCATGCAAACACACATGTGTGTCTATGTATACAGAAGTCAGTGGAAGCTCTCTACTCTATCACTCTGCCTTATTTTCTTGAGACAGGGTCTCTCCCTGAACCTGAACCAGGTTGGCAGACAGCAAGGCGAGGGATCTTCGTATCTCTGCTCCTGAAAGCATGTGTGGTGACAACTGGCTTTGTACAGGGTATAGAGCATTTGGAGTTAGGCCGTCATGCTTAGACAACAGCGATCCTGCCTACTGAGTCCGGTCCTTACCCTTCCCCCCCCCCCCCCCCCCGGTTCTTTACTAAAGACATAATGTTTGACTTGAGCATTTGGAGTCAGGCCGTCATGCTTAGACAACAGCAATCCTGCCTACTGAGTCCGTTCCTTACCCTTCCCCCGCCCCGTTCTTTACTAAAGACATAATGTTTGACTTGTTTTTTTTCTCTCTATGCAAACCGTCACCCTCTTACCCTCATCTTTTTCAGAGGATTGTTCAGTTCTCGCTGGAACGAAGCTGCTCGTCCTGACAGGAAGGTCTGGAAGGCAACAGCCAGCAAACTTTCATACTTTTCGAGCAGTGTTTTATCTTCAGGAGGATAAATTCTCCTACAAAAAGAAAATCAGAGAAACCCATTCCCTTAAAAGAATCCAACACAATTCAACAGTTAAAAATCAGCTGTTTAGAGAACCATTGCCCTCCCTGCTCCAAGCTAAGAAGGTGCTAGAAACAAACAAGAATGATTAAGGGGGAGTCACAAATATCCATCTGGTATACCAGTTAGCATTTACATAGAGGCATACACTGAATGTTTCACAGTGCTACAAGGTATAGCATAATGTCCGGCTGAAAAGAATGCTTGAAGAACAGGTTTTGGGCAGTTGGTGAAATACTGAACTTGGAGAGGAGTGTGCTGAGGACCTGGGATAATGCTGACGGTATCAGGGGTGTGCTGAGTACGTTTGAGGAGAGCGTACTGAGGACCTGGTGCTGGCGTGTGTTGATGCTATGCAATTACAGATATTCATCTAGATGATCTTTTGGGGCAAGGAAATGAGAACAGGGTAGATGCTGAGTGGAAAAACTATTTTAGCCTCTCTTTGCAACTGTGGAAGTGGTAATGTCAGGAAAGAACATCTAACAAAAGGATAGGAAAATCCACACCCCTCCACCACCCTTTGCTGAATTCTGAGGAGGCAATGTCAGCTGGGAGGATGGAACATCTTTCTAAGAACATTAGGATACCTTTCCCTGCTTCCCAGGGTATTGAATACTGTGAATACCCCCACACCCTTGTCTCCCACCTCCATCCAAACACTTCAAGCACTATCTTACTTTGCCTGGTTGTTAAGCAATTAGGCTTACAACGAAGTACAGCAATCGCATAAAAACTATCAGAAAGAATACAAGAATACCCGAATTCTGACTTTCTTAAAATATCTACAGTAACAGTTGGTTAAAAACCTCCCTTGGCAGAGCAGAGCCTGCTGGCAAAAGCTTCCCCAGTTAAACCGTCTACTTACAGCCCCCTTTCTTCTCCTGAAACATAGTGAGTGAAACGCTGTAGCTAACAACAACAACAACAAAAAAGCACTCGTAATGAAAAAAACCACTGCTCAGACACCTCTTCTATCTCTAAAACAAACAAACAAAACATAAAGCAAATGCGGGGACGTGGGCTGCATGCCCATCGTGTGAAGGTGTATTGCTGTGGTTGGTGTGATAAAAAGCTGAACAGCCAATAGGGGTATGGGTGGGATTTCCCGCGAGAAAGGAAGAGGAGATGAAATTCAGGTGTGCAAGAGATGCCAGGAGACACAGAGAGAAAACAGGGGTTCAAGTGGAAGAGAGGTAAGCCCACATGATTAAAATAAAAATTACTGTAAATGGGTTAACTAGGTTATAAGAGCTAATTAGGAAGTAGCCTAAGCTATAGGCCAAGCTTTTATAATTAATAAGAAGTCTCCGTGTCATTACTTGTGAACTAGTGGCCCGAAGAAAAACCCAACTACACACAAACAAACGGCAAGAATTACCTGTAATTCCCCATATGTCGGTTTTCATGTTCTTCTCGCGAGACCTGCTTTCGTACTTGAACAAGTCTCTCTTTCTAAAAGGGAACAGATTCATGGATAAAGTGTGATGAGTCACGCAGCTCAAACTGTGGGAATGTTGTTAAAAGTTCACACCAGGCAGGCTGGAGAGATGGCTCAGAGGTTAAGAGCACTGGCTGCTCTTCCAGAGGTCCTGAGTTCAATTCCGAGCAACCACATGGTGGCTTACAGCCATCTATAATGAGACCTGGCGCCCCCTTCTGGCTTGCAGGCACACGTGGAAGGAATGCTATATACATATAATAAATAAATAAATATTTAAAAAAAAAAAAAGTTCACACCAGGCTGGGGTGTGTGTAGCTGGGTGGCAGAGCACTCGCCTATCCGGGGTTCACTATGCACCATAGTGTCATCAGAATAAAAATAAACCAATACACCAAGCCCCACAAGCCCCGTACCAACTCTTCTTTCCGCCTCTCCAGCTGATGCCTCTGCTGTTCCCAGTCGGAGGAGCCCGGGGAAAGCCTTCTGATTGAATTCTGACCGTACAGCCTCTTTTGAGCCTCGGCTTTTTGTTTGGCCATGTTTTTCCTTTTATCACTGGTCCTGAAATGGGAAGAACAAGACCATAGCTTTCACTGTAGAAAACTTCCAACGCTGTCCCTTTGAGGAGAGCATGCCGAAGCAGGAACGAAGTTATTAAGCTTATATCTTCACACACATTCTCTTCCTCTGTCAAGGAAGAGGACTCTGGAAGGTAGTGCTTCTGAAAATAACTAGAAATAAGGAAATCCTATATGTCTTGAAGAGTCCAAGGGACCTGGTTTCATATTCCACCCTAAAAACAGAACATCTATAGTCTTTGGTAAATTAACAGCTGGATCTGTCTCCCCATCTCTTCAACTTAATCAACACTAACTTTATCCTCAATGTGTTCTAAGACTGCGTCTATGTATGAACACATGTGCCTCTCTTCCATTTACCAACTTGCTTTATGTACGCTCTCAGCTATACTGACCGCTCTCCAGTGCATTTCCAATCAGGCCTGAAATCCTAGTAACTGTTACCATTTCAAAACTGACTTCACCCTTCTTATCTTTTTGCTTAATTGTGATCATTTAGCAACAGCCCTCCCGTTTTCACACGAGAAGTAGTGCTCTGGGATTATTTGCCTCAGTACCACCCGGTCCCCCTTTTCTCTCTCATCCCTTCCATGTGGAGGAGTATTAAGTCTGTCTTTGCCACCACAGTTGCAACAGCGTAGAATCCTGGAGAAATTGAAAAGACAAGTAAACACTACCCTTAGCCACACAGAAATAACAAAACAAACAAACCAGAGCCCTCATCCTTAATCTTACACACCTCCACATCTTCTGTTGTCATTACTCTGACATGGATGCTGACCCAATGCTACCTGCTCAGTTTCCAGTTGGAAGAAGGAAACGGGTTGCTTAAGCCACAAAGTGCTCCACTGAATTCATTAGAGATTGCATTCAAATGTCAGGCCAAGACTTTAACAAGCTCTCCCTTAACACAGCCAGCGTGACAGCTCACAACAGAGTGCTAGAAAACACTCATCTTCTTTCACGACGTGGAGGCTTAAAGGGCTCGAGGGGTTCAAGGTTGAAACAGAAGGGATAATTTGAGAGAAATCAATAAAACACACTGATAAAATTGAAAGTCATCCAGTAGGGCTGGTGGTTTGAGTAAATGCAAGAAACTCAGCTGACACTAAGGGTTTCTGCTCATTGGAGAACTTCAGGTATAACTTCAAGCAGCAAAGGAGGCAGGAGCCCTAGAAGGGCCTGGTCATATCAGCCTGTGTGAAGTCGCACCCTTGGCAATGAATACAGAACGCAGGGGCTTACAAGTAGGAAAGAGAGAGGGAGAGAGAGAAAGAGAGAGAGAGAGAGAGAGAGAGGGAGAGATTGAGACATGGAAGCTATCTTCCTAGCAAACAAGAAGTATGAGAGTGTGGGTCACAGAAACTGGAGTGAGTCAACGCTGAGGAATATTTTGAAAGACTAGATAGATGTAAGGTGAGGAGGGAAACAGACTTCTGATGTTCACAACTAGGTGGCTAAGAATATCGTTGTTCCAATGATGACTACAAGTCCAGCTGGGTGTGTTCAGTGGAAATGAAATGCCTGAGATAGCTAATAATAATAATAACCTAGTTTTTCTAGAATGATCACTTGTACATAGCATTAAAGAGAAAAGGAAAAATAAGAGAGAAGAAAGAATAAAGACCAAACAATAAAAGGGAAAGAGAGAGGGACACGAGGAGAAGGGATTTTTTATTTTTCTTTTTAGTGGTGTGGCCTTTTGGTTAGAAAAAAAAAAAAAAGCACACAGCCAAGTAGTAAAGTACCACTGGCAGAAGCCCAGAGCATCAGAGTGTCTCTATCAGATATGGTGCTGCGGAGAGTAGGGGAGGAACTGTCTCCAAGGAAACCACCAGGTTTGCACAGGTGTTGTCGCCCAGCTTTTGCTTCATCTTATAAATAATAACATTGTCAAAAGCAACTTGGGGAGAAGCTTGGGACTTCTGCTCCTGCTAGAACAGTAGACAAAGCCACTTCCTTTTTCTAACTCTTATCTGCAGGTTTTATCAGCACTTCCTTTTTCTAACTCTTATCTGCAGGTTTTATCAGCAGACCTAGCAAGTGAAAAGCCCTGGACTCTGCTACAGCATTCATTCACAGGTCTGGCCACACCAGTGCTGCGAGTGCAGCCCTGGAAACATGGGTAAGATAATAATGATATTTCCGTTAGAATATTCTTTTCACATTTGGTTTTTAGAAATACTGTCAATATAAAGTCACAGTTTCATTTCTACAAATAAAGGCACAAAATACCACTAATGGCTCTTAGCATGTACTTCACAGACCACAGGCCAGAAGTCTGCTTTTCACTTAGCATTTGAATCAACAGGTTTTTTTTTTTCCCTTCAGTTGTACCTGCACAGTGACCTAAGACTAAGATGTTCTGTTTCACACTTCTTGACTCCTTTCCACACACCTGATTTTGAGGGTCTCCAGGGGCTTTCTCTAACTTTTGCTTTATATGTGTTGTGTCCTGTACTAGTTATGGTAGGTTGTAAGAACAAATTTCCTTAGTTCCACCCAAGTAATTTTCCAGACTAAGAGGCTCCTTCTACCCTTGCCTTCCAACTCAAATCACATTCATTACTCTATACACTAGATATATCCCCCAAAAGACATAACACGGATGCAGGACCCATTGTCTTTTTGGAGCTGATAATCTAGCTAAAATGGGAGATGGGATACCATGTAAACCAGCATATAAGGTATAACGTGAGAGAGAAGATGGTGACATTAAAAAGAAAGAAAAGTTAGGCTTAAGCTATGCTGTATGGTGTCTGTCCCCAGAGGTCCATGTGCCAGAAGCTTGCTCCCCAACCGTCAGGGTTTCTATTGCTGTGAAGAGACGCCATGACTATGGCAACCCTTATAAAGGAAAACATTTAACTGGAGCAGCTGACTTACAGTTCTGAGGTTCAGTCCATTATCATCATGGCAGGGAGCATGGTGGTGGTTACCTCTTGATCAGAAGGCCACAGGAAGTGAATTGTCTGTCAGACTGAGGAAAGCTTAAGCAGTGGAGACTTCAAAGCCCGCCCCCACAGTGACACACTTCCTCCAACAATGCCATGATTCCTGATGGTGCAAATCCTTCAGGATTATGGGGGCCGATAACATTCAAACTACCACACCAACCGAGCATATGGAGAGTTAACATCAGACTACCACATTCAGGAACAGATCAAAGTGTTTCTTGGAAGGCTAGGTCACTTCTCCCCATCAACTGGGTCTGAGTTGATTGAGACGTGGGGGCTGACTAAACTGCTGTGAAAGCTGGCCGCTCATAAAGTACCAGCCTCCACCCTCTCTCCCCATCTCACACGCTCTTCAGCATGCTCTCTTTCCTCCTTGTTTCCCATCACGGGAAGACAAGCATGAGACTCTCCTGACATATGATGCAATACGGGGGAACTTAAAGGCCACACTAAATGAAAACTGCCAATCATAAAAGGAAAAATCATATATTCCTACCCCAATTACTACCAAGCACTTGGACCTCATTTTACTGAAAGTATTGATCTTCACTTGGGCCTGCTGGGCCTGCGCTTGCAGAGAAGTGCTAAGACAACATGGCAGCCATGGATTTGGCAAGAGTCACTGAGTTAAATCAAAGGAAGAAGTGAAGGCTTGCTTCAACTAACTGACGAGTGGTTTGCCATTAGCTGGCAGAGAGCTGTGGATACTTCCCTTCACTATCACTATCTCTGGTTCCTTTCCACACACATTGTCCTGTGAGTCCATTCCGGGCTCTCTCTCCCTTGCCGCATGTGTGCCATGCACTGGCAGCACAGAGACCGGGAATCCTATCACTCTGTTCCTCAGTGCACTGGTCATTTTGAATGTGTGGCTCTTCAGGGTACATAAGAAAATTCTACCTATTTGTTATAATAGCAAACTCCATGTAAATTTACGTGCTTATATTTAATATCTGTGAGCTGTAAATACACATTATTATAAGCAGGAGGAAAAATAACTCAAGATAAACATGACTGAAGGGAAACACCTCAGCTCTGGTCATATTGAATCTAAGTGGGAGATATGCTATCCATTCATTCAGTCACTTGTTTATGCATTCACTTGCTTGCTATTTAATACATAGTTATAATTACAGACTAGGCCAAAAATCATCAGCATTCGCCATCAGGAGATAATGCCAAATGGATGATCTGTGCTCCAGTGAGGGCCGAGGTCACCAAAAGGCATCTCAAGCTGTATGTTCCTTCCTATATACACGGTTCATGGATTCTGGAGTCATGCACACAGGAATGAGTAAAACTGACATAAAGAGAAGCGAGGCAAGAACCCAATGGGGGAAATGGCAGACAGTGAACAGGGATAAAAGAGGACTGCAGGGATCCAGGCTCCATGAACTCTGCAAGTGTCAGAGAGGCAGAGAGGACCAATGTCCAGGCGGAAGAATATTAAATGCTCAGGTCTGTGACCATGAGTTTGTCCTAAGTAGGAAATGAGTGTTTCATTTGAGCTAATCCAATTCACACACATTTGAGCCCTGGGGGCTCATGGGACTGGGGATGTCTTCTTTGGATTCTGTTTTTTATAACTGTAGTAGAAGACTCTCAGTGGATAGAAAAACTCTGTCCAAGAACCTTGGCACAACACAGCCGGGTCTTCTCTGGCTACAGGCGAAATAATTATCTTTTGTTCCACTTATGAGGCCTGAGATGGCCACATATGACAGTTTCCTCTGAAGATCTCAAGCCTCATGCTTCAAAACATTGTCTGAAACTGAAATCACACTGCATTCTTCTAAGGGCAAGCAGTAGTTCGGTCCCCTCTGCATGAGCTTCTATAGTCACAGTCCCTGGGACGGATCTTCCTGATCTACAGGCTCTTCTGCGTTTCCTCAAGATGAAAAGCAAATAGGTTTGAAGTGGACTTGGACGTGTAGATAGAGGAATGTCATGAGCAGACTACTGCAGTAAGATCTGTGAAGAACTCTTAAGACTGCAAGGAGCATACATCAAATCAGAAAGCCATGCCCAGGAAAAACATCACAGAATACGAAGGAAGAGACAAAGTTATAAACCATGTCCTGAGTACACGCTAATGCCACCAAAATATTACAGGGTGTAAGGATTAACTCTGGTCAAAATGTAGAGTTTTATAATAAAATATGGTATGTACATTGTATGTACATTATAGAAAGTAAGGAAAATCATTCACTTCAACTAGAAAGCAGAACAAACCACCAGTGAGTTACGGCGGGGGACAGAAAATAATGAGACAATCAGCCAAGCTATCACAGCTTGGAGCAAACACAGAAAATTAAGATAATAGTTATATAGTTGTGTTTGGGGAAGCTTAGCCTTGGTATTTAGCAATAAAATCCTGTTTGGGTTCCTGAGAAGAAAGACAAGTAATGAAAGAGAGAAGCTGCTACTGGCAGTCTCAGGGAAAACAGAGAATTCTGGAATCACAGAGCAATCCTACCCACACCAAAGTTAAGTCCGTAATGCTGAATACGAGGCAAGAACTCCCCTATTGCTCCCCATCTAAGTCGCTATGGTATGCATAGCACAGAACCAGTCACAAAAACACAGACATGCCAAGGCAACCTCCGTGGTTGAAGAGAGAAGTGTGCGACACGCGCGTGCACTAAGTATTAGAACTGTGCTATGTCCTGTGGAGAACACGAAGCTAGATAAGGGAGAAGCTCCATACTCACATTGTTGGGAATGGCTTGCTCCTTAAATTATAGATAAACCTCCCCTCTGAAACAACTGAAAATATCCACAGTTGATTCGCGAATCGTCTGGATAGCCTTAAGCTAAACACAAGGTTCTATTGTAATAGAAAACCATGTAAAAATACGCACTATCATCTAAAATCACACAGTGGGTAGGCTAAAGAGCAGCTGAAAAACTAAAGCCTGCAGGCATGAGCACCTTTCACCAAGCAGCAGGAGCCGCGTGGAAACGTCAAATCAGACCTCAGTGCCCATGTCCTTTCTTCATGATGTTTTTCCCACACAAGTAAGATCTCAATGACCACTGCTAAATGCTTGAAAATGGTTTAAATAAGAAAATTCCTTGGATTATTCCATAATTCTTTGGGAGTTCTTGAGTGATGATAAAAATAAAAGGGGCATAAAAGCCCCAGTTAATCTCCAGGGCCCGCTAATCGAGGTTGGGCATGCGCCGTAGAGCAGTTAAGTTAAATATCTTTTTCTTTTTTTTTTTCCTTGATCAAACAGGTGTGTTGTATGTGTTCCAAACTGGCTTAAAACTCGCAGTCCTCCTGCCTTCCCTAATAAATGCCTTCCCTAAGGAGTCAGAAGCCTTTCCTGCAGGGCAGCATCTCAGACACCGGAATCCGTGACATGTTCACTTCCAGCACCCTTCCCCGCCCTGCCAAGTCTCCTCTCGCATCTTTCTTCCCACTGTGTCTGTCTTCCCCAGTGGCAGCCACCTCATTGAACAAGGCCTCTTTTCTATCTACACAGAAGATAGAGCAGGAAGATTAACGGAGGTAGGAAATCTATGTTTAAGGCTTCCTGAGAGACTCTGGGTGCCTAACTTCCCCCGCAACGAGAGGATGGTAAACTAGAGGGTCTCCTACCATACCTCGCGAGCAATCCAACCGTGTACGCCACAGAAACTTCTGTGATGAACAGCAGCTGCGGCGGGTGCATAGCGCCATATGGGGGAACGACGGCAGCGGGAAAAGGGAAATGGAAAGGTTTTGTGTTTGTTTTTTAACAATGTGAATTTGCAGAATGGAATGAAGAAGGTTTAAATGTTAAACACAAAAATATAAAGATTCACGAGGCAAAGCCAGTTTCATGTGCAAATACTTTATCAGTGCCAAAGGTAGGGGGCGCCAGTGAGTTGGGAAAGGCTCACCTCTTGTTTGGGGGACCCCAGCAAATGGGGAAAAGGCTTACCTGATGTTCAGTAGCTTCAGCGCATTTAGCAGAACTCCCCTTTTCACATCATAATCTATTTTCTGATCAGTTCCAAAGCTTGGGGCTCGATTAATCTGAAATTTACGGAGAAAACAATGAGTTTGGTTGAATGTCGGGAGGTCAATGCGTGATTCAGTCATGTTTGCTAACTGAAGATGATTTCCAGCTATCAGTCTCAGAGCTCTACGTGGAAGATGCTCCAATCATCACTGCCACGCCTGGTTTTCCATCACCCTATGGCAAAGATCTGCAGAAAAACATCTCCAAGCACCACCTCCTCCATCACAGCAGCGGTTTCTTAACCAGTGCATCACGACCCCTTTGGAGCCAAACGACCCTTTCACCAGGGTCACCTAAGACCATTAGAAAACACAGATGAGATCTATAACAGTAGCAAAATTACAGTTATAAAGTAGCAACAAAATAATTTTGTGGTGGTGGGGGTCACCACAACATGAAGAACTGTATTAAAAGGTCACAACATTAAGAAGGTTGAGAACCACTGCCCTAGTGGCTTAGGGTTTGCTGCCAGCATTACCTGGCCACTCCAACCTACCGATCCATATCACTGAGCCTTAAAAAAAAGTAAGTTATCTTGAGTGCTGGGAAGACCCATAGTAGATATATTTCTGACATAGTGACAGATGCACATACATGTCTGCTTAGCATACAGGAACATACATATGTGTCTGCTTAGCATACAGGAACATACATATGTGTCTGCTTAGCATACAGGAACATACAGTCAATTCCCGCCTTTCACCACCTAAGGGCTTCCTGCTGAGTTCTATTGCTTCCTAAAATATAAATGTGGTTTCCTCTACCTGGCTCAACAGTGACTCATTAACTTTCACCTCAGAAGGCATTGATTCAACCGCTTGGAAGACATTCCTAACAATAGGCACAGGCTGAGCTCAATTTTCCCTCCTGAGAATCTTCTTAAGGCTTGGGAATTCCTTCAGGTTTGCCACTGCCAACCGCTGCCTGGATTTTAAGCCGCTAGACTTTCTCATCCTCAGAGGCACCCTCCACTTTATTCCACGTGGTGGCGCCAGAAGGATTTAACACCGTGTATGAAATCTGCAGTGTTACCAGCATGCTCTCAAAATAGGACATGGAACAATAATCTGAACATGCACTGTTCACTATCCACAGAGAGCAACACTGCGGAGCTTTATTTTTATTAATGATTCTGAGCTGAGTAAGTCAGAAACAATAAAGAAGACAAAGAACAAAAAAAAATGTGTTTATAGTGAACCCTTTAAAAAAGTGTACAGAATCCAACTGTTCAGGCAGTTCTGATTTAGCAGCCTGATGGAAAGCTCCTCTGAACAAACGCTTTTTGCAAAGGTTAATTCACATTTTACATAAAGTTCTTACTCCCGGCAGTTCCCTCATTTCATCCCCATGCAACATGAGCACAGTTTCACGTCTCCACCCATCAGGCGTAAATGCCCAGTACAGAACAGAGGAAAACACAGCAACAAGAGGAAAACAATACAAGGTCCAAGGGTCCAATCTCCAGGACTCCAGGCCTTACTAAGACGGAGGATCTGTGGTACACAGTCAAGAACTTCTCCACCCAAGGATGGCAGAAGCAGAGAAAATAACTCTGCCAAGTCCATTTCTAGGAACAAAGCTGGACTCAAATTCCAGCTAGCAGAAAAATTACTTTTCCTGGATCTCTAATACACGTTATTTGTCCAGGATGTATGATTGCTCTTCTCTTGCTCTCCCTCTCTCCCTCACTCAAGTTAGAAAAGTGTACTTTCCTTCAAAACGTTTTGAATCGAGGTCTCACATAGCACATATTCAGGTTTGCTTACAAAAACCTGGAGACGACGATGTAACTTCTGACATCTAAATCACTAACCTACACCCCTCTGAAATAAAAGATAGTGGTTGATTCCAGCTTCTGTGGTAGCATGTTATTTAAAATATAACTCATCCTGGAAACACAGTTCAGACGAGTACATGAGAAGCCCTGGGGAAGCAGGTGCTTTCTGTGACTCCAGATCAGGGTCCTAGAGAGAACATCTGGATGGGAGAGCACTGGACCAGGATTCTAAAGGTGCCTTGTGAGTAGCACAAATATAAATGTAATTGCACAATACGACAGCATCTTAAACAGAGGTCACTTTTGTATTCTTTACATTGTTCCATATGTTAGGTGACATTTTATACTAAAAATAATAATAACTAGAGGGGACAGGCAGCAAATCCAAAGATATTGTTTTTGGGAATATCAAATGGCCATAAGGGAGGATTTATGTTTGTTGCAGTGTTGAGCACTGGGCACCGAGCCAGTAGTGAGCCCCTCTCCCTATGGAGTGCTGAAAGTTATACTAAAGATAGTGTGCAGAGGCAGTGCCCACCCAGGGGAGATATAATATCTAGAGTTCATGAAGTGGAAGGTGGATGCCACCAGGTTGAGAAAACACACATGTAACCAGCCAGCAGCTCAGAGGCAGCTCACACCTCAGTTCACTCGATGCTAATGAGAGGAAGCGATATGAAATCATATTGATTCATCCTGGGAAGTGTTCTGGTCCCAGAGTTTTCATTCAGTTCTTCCCACATACTCCATGCGGGCCTCATTCCAGCCAGTGAACTGGGGACGCCTGTGCCAAGTACACATTTGAAATTCAGTTTCTAAACACATGGTAAGAATAGTGCTGGCTCCTTTTTAAAGTTTAACTTCTTAGAGAATATCTTACCTCCAGAAGCCATGGCTTTAACTTTCTGTCCAACAAGATGTCGAACCCTAGGACTTCGAAGCAGACGCTTTGACTTCCTGGGGGCTGACCAGGTCTGCACATCCGATACGCATGCAGGACGTGAGGCTCTGCTACGATCAGTGTCTTTACCACCAACTCCTATTGAGGTTGTGATGAGAGATATAAAAGTGCCTTATTTGAGTGTATTTTCCCGAGAAAAGGCCTGGGGACAAAGTAGCATCCTAGGTGGATTCGCTGATGCTCTTTGTCCGAGCTGCTCTACCTCACTTCCTCCAGCTCTGCCCTTCCCCACCTGTCGTTCTGGCCACGCTCTGTTTGAATTTCTCTAGTGGGCAACACTTTTTCCCATCTTCCTGTGCATCCTCCCTTTGATTCCTATGCCTGGTCATTAATATTCAGACAGGGCTGCAACCATCATGCTTGAAAAGCAACCAAACTTGAAAAGGCAATCTATTGTCTACAACATGCAGCCAAGTGGCACGTTTCCCTTGCTATGTGAACAAGACCCTTGCCCTTCTTGTTTTTTGCACCATCCCAGCACCCACAATAGTGCCTGGCATTGGAGATATTCAAAGACATTTGTAAACAATAAGTAGGATTTAAAAAAAAATAAGGAGCAAAGGCTAGCTCTTTAGAGAAGAAGAAAGAATGACAGAGAAGAAAAATTCTAGGGAGAGATGCAGCATTTTCCAAACAGCATGATGGAACCTCCAGTTAAACAGGGGCTGGGAAGAAAGAGCTCATGATGCTTTATTTCGTGGTGCTGGTTTGTACCCTGTGAAGGTTCCTCTGAGAAAGGAGTACATCTTGGTGACCACGACTGGAGATTTGCCTCAGTGGTTAAGAGAACTTGTTGCATAGGAACTGAGTTCAGTTCCCAGCACCCACAAGGCAGCTCACAGCCATTTAACTCCAGGTCTAGGGGAATCCCATGCCCTCTTCTGACCTCCACAGACATCTGGCACACAGTACACACATACACACAGGCAAAATATTCATACACATAAAATAAAAGTAACTTTTTGGAACTCTATCAGATTTTCCCATGAGGAAACCCACAGTGGAATACGGGAAAGCTAGGCCTTTGCATACATTGATTTCCTAACTCCTACTGTCGGAAAATAGATAACCAGAAAGATGGTTAAGACCTTGACTCCTTGGTCAGAATTCTGGGCTTATGCCTGACTTTTCTGTTTGTTATTAAGGCAAGGAAAGCATTCTGCTTGAACTGTGTCTTGTTTTCCCTGAATGTAAATCACCAAGGGATAGGCTGAGAGCCCAGGCACCAATTTCAGCACAGTGCCTAGAATAGCATAAACCTTCACTATTGTTAACGACTTAACTACTGTTCTATTGCTGGTCTATCATTTCTCAGGACTCACTCTCATGGCTTCTCACTGTGTGGAAGCAATATTACATGGAAGAGAAATGGGGAGAGGGGTACTAACCTCACTGCTGCTCCCCAGAAACATAAATCAGTTCAAATAACTTCATACACACAGACACTTTAATGTTTGTAATAATGAATTTGGAACATTTAATAATATTCTCATTTAATGGGTTATTTATAATCACTATATGCATTCTAGCTAGCAGACTAAATATTGCATTTGTAGACAAGATCATGAAATGTGTCACTGATTAAAAGAGTATTTCGGACTCACATCTAGAAAGTATACTTCAGGATCTAACATAAAAGTTAATTTCCATACCACACCCCCTTTGCCTTGTTTGAGCACTTTCTCCTAACCCAGTGGGATGTGAGAAGTATGGTCTAAAGCCAGTGTCTGGGTAGGAGGTTGGGACCATTGCTCTCTGGCTGGCCCTTCACTCATACAGCTCACTAAGGCAGCCCAGTAGGGTATGCATTTTCGCAGGAACTCTCTCAAAGACCCAAACTCATATGGAAGTTAACATACTGGTAGAGAAGAGAAAAATACAATGAAGAAAGAAACAGAATGCCAGAAGTGTATAATATTTTCTTGGTACCACAGAGACAGTGATCTAAGGGCTTGGAGTATTTGAATGAATAAGGGGATAGATGGGTGGATGAATGGGAGGGAGGGAAGGAAGGAGGGAATGATGGATATATAAACAAGCAAAATTCCTTTCCTTCATCTTCAAAACAAATTCTATACATTAAAAAACTTCTTCCTATTCTATTTCAGATATCACATCCCTTTTCCCTTCCACTCTTCCTGAAAACAGAGATCCTTGACCCTCTTCGGCATTATAGACAATCGTCAGCCCTAGTGTCTACCTCCTTGCCCCTCTCACTGTGGTTCACGATAAGCCACCCTTTCACCTCAACTACTTACAAGAGTTCCCAAGTGTCCTCTCTGGTTATTCTTAATGAGCACTTTAATCCAGTCTATGCCTGTTTGATGTGGCTTTCAGATACATACATTTGACTATATCCATCATATTATTCTCCTCTGTTAAGAACTGAATGAGGCTGTCAAGACGGCTCAGCACACGAGGGTGCTTTGTCAGCAAACCTGATGATCCTAGCTTGATCCTCAAACTTACACAAAGGGAAAATCAACTCTCACAAATGTCCTCTGATTACACACATATGCTGTGTTACACATGTGTGTGCACAAACGTGTGTGTGTGTGTGCATGCATTTCAGTGGGACCCTCATGCAAACCTCCTACAGACCATCTGTGAAACCCTGTACTTCTCTCCTTATCTCATATCTTCATGCCCTTGACTATTGTCCCCAGATAGAATACCTATCCCTAGAAATGAGGTTCTTACTTGCTAAGGTCTGCCACAGAATCAACTTCCTTAAAAAACAAACAAAAACTCATCTGCTCAACCTCATCTACTATGTTCTTTAGTAAAAGGTTGGATGCTACTTCAATCTCATGCTGATGAAAGACAGTACAGTTACAGAATGTAACAGTTACAGAACAGAATAACCTTACTGAAATATCACTCCAGAACTTAGAAACATCGTGCTGATTGGCTTGTAGGAATTCTGTAAACCACTTGATTGAACGTTTGCTGCCTTTGTCTTCGGTTTCATTGCGTTCAAACCGCTCGTTGTGCTTGTTTACGGAGTAGTTGGTCAGATGCATGTACAGCTGGGTCTGGAAGGAGGAGGAACAAAGGGTTACCACCTAGGAGAGCCACAGTAAAGTGGTCTGATGGGGAAGAGAACCTCAAAGACTAGTTCTTAAACTTGGAGATAACCAGCATATGTGGGTTAGGCTGCTCCTAAACGCCAGTGGTTGATAAAAGGATTTTGATCTGAGGATGAGCTACCACCTTGCAAAATGCTGGTCAGTGAGGGTCCAGTGACCCCAAAATCAATACAGGCAATAGCCGCTGCTGCTGAATACCCACCAGAGCCAAACACTGCTGCTGAAGATGCTGCATTATCTGTTCACAGGATACACAAAGATTAAGCTAGAACTGAGTTGACCCCCCCCCCTCCACATGCTGGCTCGTTTCCATGGTATTGAAGGGCGCTGTGCTGTGAGGTTAGAAAAGTCATCGACAGTCTTGCTGATGACCAAGCAGGTAGGATGTGCTTACTGTCTCTAAAGTGATAAGTCAGTAATCGGGTAACCACATTCTGACTGGACTCAAGGTCCACTCCACAGCAGGGAATCCATATCTGGTACCGTAAACCTGGTCAAAAACCCATGACTGGAGAGATAGTAGATCATAATGAGAAGGCTATTGCTGCTGTTTTGCCTAAATGGATATGATGTGCCTGCCAAGTTGCCTTCAAATTAAGGATGCATATGTATGTGGGTTAGTGCTGCTGCAGTTTTGGTCAGAGAAGCTTCTTCATGCAGTGGGCTTGGCACCTACAGAGATTCATAACTGGTCAAAGTGATGAGCATACATGACAGTTGGGTGCTCAACTATATACAGAACATCTATATAACCCCCTCCAAAGCTTAGTGAACATCACAAAAAAAAAAGGAAAAAGGAAGAATGTCAGAGTTGAAAGGAAGGGTAGAGTGTTGATCAGTGTTATCTTCTGGAAATGGCATGGCGACTATACCCATGGATTCACAAAGCTGTGATTATTTGCACGAGACAAACAGAAGATTAGAACAGTCAGTGTCCAATCATAGAGGTCCCACCAGCCTCACTGAGTGACCTATAGGAAGTAAATGGTTGCTGGAGGAGAGATAGACATTTTTCTTCAGTAGAACAGACACTGTTGGAATGCCTATGCTCTTATAAATTGTAAATAAGCCCTCCCCCTGTAAGGAAGCCAATAAAACTAAAACATAAAAAGACACGCAAGTGCGTGCAGTAGGATCAGAAACCCATTGCCATTGTTCTTGAGTTCTCAGAGTCTAGGCAGTTTGGATGCTCAACTTACTAGACCTGGATGGAGGTGGGGGTTCCTTGGACTTCCCACAGGACAGGGAACCCTGATTGCTTTTCGGGCTGGGGGGGGGACTTAATTGGGGGAGGGGGAGGGAAATGGGAGGCGGTGGCAGGGAAGAGACAGAAATCTTTAATAAATAAATAAATAAATAAAAAGACACGCAAGTATAAAAGAGGCTTCTTAGAAAGAGAGAAGGTATCAAAGAGTAGGGAGAGGACAAGAGAGGGTAATAATGGAGGAAATATGATCAAAATGCATCATATATGTATGAAAATATCATAATGAAGCCCATTATTATGTATGATTAATATAAGCTAATTAAAATCATAAACCTTTAAACTATACCCACTGATGATTCTGGTGCTTAAATATTTCCCAGTGAAATGCTACTTTTCCCTTGAGAGGACTGTGAGTATCCGTACTGCAGAATGACTTTCCTAATTATCGTGATATTTACAATTAAAGTCCCAAATGAATGACAATATAGGCAAAAATTAAAAAGTGAAGTTAGACTTGGCTAAATAAAACACTCCAAAAGTCTGCCTTCATTACCCCTTTTATTTTCAATGCTTGACCCTTAACATTGCTCTTTCAAATCTATTTGAGGAAAGACTACTTTAAGAAACATTCTCCATCTCTAAAGAGAACAATTGAATACTGAAAGCATCAGTAAGAAGGGTACCAACACACCCGTTCCCACACCCCATACCGACTGCACCTGCCCTCCCTGCAGTGTACCTGGGGTCAGCAGGTGGTGTATCCCATGTCGCTGGACAGATGACAGCTGTGACACCCATCTGGCTTCGCTTGGGTTTGTGTTTTAGTCTTTCTGTGTTATTTTGCTGTTTTAGATGGGGGTGTGTGCTTGTAACAGGGTCTCACCAGACAACCTGGAACCCACTGTGTAATCCACTCTGGCCTGAAACTCGTAATAATCCTCTTGCCTCGGGTTCATGAGGGAGCTACCACACCCAGCTCTTTGGTTTGCTGGCACTATTTTCTTTAAGTTAATTTGAAAAGAATCCAAAATTCAAAACTACTCTTAACCCTCAGTAAATATCTAATGTTTCCTCATCAAATTAGCATAAACATTAATAAAGTCTATCTTTAATGCCCACCCTTTTCCTAATTCTACTCTCCAAGACAGTTTTGAATAGAAATATTGTATCTTATATCTAGATATTTGTTTATATATTCTACCCATATGACCATTATTTTGATTTTTGATAACCAACTATACCCTTATGGTTTTTTATTTTTACTACAATCCCAGAGATCTGTATATTAATAAAAATCTTTGAGGCAAATAAGCAGAGACAACTACTTGTTTGTTAATCTGTGTGCCTATCACTACTGAAGATGTCTTCTCATTCATGATGTAATATTTATCTACAGAAAAAAGTGCAGAAAGGAGCCAGAAAAGCCTTCAGGTATTTAATAGTGTGGCTACTCAACACTGTATGTCATCACATTGGCTTAATCAAGTAAATTGGCAAATATGAAACTTTTCAGGAATGGACTCATCACTACAGGAGATGGGTACGTTGGCATGTGCCTCTAATTCTAGTATTTTGAAGGTTCTCCTGACAACAGGAGAATCAGGAGCTAAAGTTCATCCCTGGCTACACAGTGAGTCTAGGCCAGCCAAGACTAGATTGAGACCCTGTCTCAAAACAGCAAAACAAAAACAAAACAAAAAATGGATGCTGTATTTCAACATCTGAAATTACCTGTCATAATCTCTTTTATAGTCATGAACCAAATTGCATGGAATGATGCTCATAAATTCATTAATAACTACAATTAAGTCTACATTACAATTTCCTATGGAAGTACAGGAGCTATTAAAAATGCACACTCATTGTTCTAAACATTAGAAAATGGAGTAGAAAGAACTGTGCAACAGCACGCCATCCCAAAACCACTAATGAAACTGTTTGGACTTTTAGTTCATCTTTACAAATAAGCTTTTACATAATATACAATCAGTTCGCATGGATTTTGAGGTTTCTCCCTACACACAACCACCAGAGATTCAGTAATGAAATCATAGAGAAGAACAATGGATACTGGCAAGAAGAGCTTACCTTTTTCTATATATGTAGAAACCGAAGGCAGGAACTTACATATTCAAAAGCAGTTATCAAATGAGGCACAGAGGTTGTGCCTCTTTTCTCCCCAGCTTCCATTAGGATCTTCTAGCCCAATGAACTTACTACATATGCACAGGGTAGTATTTCAGAATAGAATCCCCAAGCCCTGTCCTGTCTAATATCAGCAGTAGATACTATCTTCCTTACACAAATATGACCCACCCTTACCCATTCCAGTTGTTTAACTTATAATCTACAAGCTGACATGTCCCAAGTCAAGCCCACATCTCAAACGGTTCTTCTATGAATAACCAAATCCCTGTGGAACAATTGAAAGTCAAGGCCAAATATGTTAATTTCCACAAAACCTTCAACAGCTCCTGAACTCCACTGCCATGGGAGTACAGCTCACTCTCCCTGTGTCCAGGCCACACACGCTGAGTTTCCTCTGACTTCCCTTACTTCACATACCCAGCTCATGACCCTGCCATAGCTATGCTATCTGTGTTACCTTAAATGTATCTCAAATCCCGCGCTCAGATTCCCAGCCTGGACTTGATTTCAGAGTCTCCTCCCGTCTCACATGGCTAGGCAGAAATGGTGTCTGGTTTCCCACACTTCAAGTCTCCTTTATTGCCCCCTGTATGACATAGTCCCATCTAATCCCCACACTGCAGGCCAGATGGGCTTCTTAAAACCCCAAATTCCATTGTCCTTTTCAGTGTGTCATCTTGAGCTGAACCCCCAAGTCCTAGAAAGTCCTTTACAATGTCTGGAGAGTCCTGTTTCTGGGACCCTCTGCATTCATCTCAGAAGAGACACATCCTTCCTTCTGGTCTGTGCTTTGGCCAAACTGAACGTGTCTGCTTCCTACACCATTTTCATATTACTTTCCCTAATCCTCTCTTTTGTGAGGTGCTCTACCCAACCCTGAGCCAGGCAAGCTCGTTCCTCAGTCTTCTCTGACCTTAGACTCCATCTGCAAAGTTGAACCCCTAGGCATGGCCATAGCTCCCTCAGATGGGAGACCCGCACTCAGACTTTCTATCAGGTATTCTAAATGCTTACTTTATCTTCTACCTCACCACTAAATTGTTGCTTCGATGAAGTCACATACTGCATTTATGTAATGCTTATATTAATGTTTCTCCAAAAATAGCACAATTCTAGGGAATGCAGTACACTTCAAACATGACTTGGGGGAAGCTCAGAATAAACTTTATGACCATAAATAAAACATTACTTTATTTTAATATCTTTTCCTAATATTTTTATAGTTTCCTCCTTTTTTTTCCTTGCCAGGCTTGTGAAAATTTTAGTTTACTAGAGGAAGCAACTTTGAAGGTCAGCCACTATTTCATTTTGAAATGACTAGTCTTACTAGAAGCATGTACAAATGCTGAAGGAATTGGGCCTTTGAAAAGATGAAAAACAATAACTAATTGTGACTTTTCTTATAGCCAGTACATTCACAACATAAAGTTAGAAGTTAACTAAATTTTCTGGGTGATAAATTACAATTTAATATGGGTAAACAATAAATTACAGTTTATTATCGTCATAGTAAATTATAGTTACAACTTTCATGAATATTAGCTGCTATACAAAAGAAATTTTTATTGGAATTTTATTGAACTTTTAGTGAAAAATTGTTGCAAGGAAGGGCCGCTTGTTTCCTGGCCACCCATCAGCATAGACCCAAAATAATCACACAGAAATTGTATTATTTAAATTATTTCTTGGCCCATTAGCTCTAGCTTCTTATTGGCTAACTCTTATATCTTAATTGAACCCATTTCTAGCAATCTGTGTATCACCACGAGGTCATGGCCTACCAGCAAAGTTCCAGCGTGTTTGTCTCTGGCGGAGTCTCCATGGCTTCTCCAGACTCTGCCCTTTTCCCCAGCACTCAGTTTAGTTTTCCCCACCTACTTCTGTCATGGCCTACCAGCAAAGTTTCAGCAAGTCTGTTTCTGGCAGCAGTTCCATGGCTTCTCTCTGACTCTGCCTCCGTTCTCCAAGCACTCAGTTTAGTTTTCCCCTCCTAGCTAAGTTCTGTCCTACTATAGGTCCAAAGCAGTTTCTTTATTCATTAGTGGTAATCACAGCACACAGAGGGGAACCCCACATGAGTATGCACACTGGCTATCATAGACCCAGGTGATTCTGACATTATTAGAAGCATACACAGAACAGAGCTAGGTGGGGAAAACCATGGAGCTGCTGCTGGAGACAGGAAAGTCATGAAAAGTCCTAAGTTATTAAAACATTTTAAATGGCATATTCTGAAGGTCTCTGAAAGATTTGAAGAACATCTAACTGAAATATATCTCTTTATATCTAGAAAATCTAACTAACATGACTACAAGTTTGACTACTCTAGATGACTCTCTATTAACCTGTATACACTACATTTTAAAATGTACACTACATTTTAATTTAATTATACACTACATTTTAAAATGAGTTGCACAAACACAATACCTTAATCAAGAGCAGAAATACACATATAATAAAATTGACCTTAAATTAGTATCAATAAACCAAAATCCATACCAATGCAAATCTCTATAGCAAAAAATACTAACAAAATGGTTAAGAAATACTTAAGAAATTTTTATTGAAAATTTATTGAAATTTTACTGAATTTTTAGTGAAAAATACTTACAAAATGGTTCATTTAATAGACCTCTCAATACATATAGAAACTGTTCATTTTTTCCTTGACTTCATTTGTGATCAATGCAAATTTAGAACCTACCTCCCTTTACCACTAGAAAAATAACCCTAACCACTGACAAGGTTTGATTTTATCCACATACGTTCTTCCACATTTACATGTTCATACTGTACCTTGTAAACAAAGCTTCATCCGATATCAGCTCTCCCTTGAGAAACTGAACCTCATGATCCCTGCACTTTTCTATAGTTCCCACACCACATTGATTTTATTTCTAGTACAGCAGTTTCTAGAGAGGTCATGGCATTGAGACAGAAGCTCAGAAACCAACCCAGAGAAAGTATCTTATCCTAATTAACTAATCAGATTGCCTGGTTTTCACAAAGCTGTCTGTAAGTGAGAAGCAGTCTTACTTGTGCAGACGATTCTTTCGTAAGCTCCTTAGAGAAGGAACTTCAATTCACACAGTTCTTACACATCACAGATGATTTAAAGGCAGACATTGAACAAATGAGCGATAACTAAGTTCTCTGTCGTCACTTACCAAGTTGGACTCATTTGGTGGGATGTACTTCTCTGTCCCCATTCGCACAAGCCCATCATGGTAGAGAAATATCTTTAATGGATCACAGGATGTAACCAAAATATAAATCCGTAAATCAAACTTGTAGCCTTCCATTAGGAAAGGCTTTTCAATGTATTCTTGAACTATCAAATGATCCTGAGATGGAATTTTATCCCCATTTCTTATCAATGAAATCCTAAGTTTAAAGAAAACAAATAAAAATAATTTGATATGGAGGTTGAGATGCCAGGAAAATCAATGTCATCAATGTATTTAGGAAGAGAACAGTGTTACAGAAATTCCAAAACCCTGTCCCTCCACAAGAGCAATGAGTAGGTTGCTGTCAGAATCAGTTCTGTGGAGGCACGAAAGTTAAACAAAAGCTTGAAACACCCAGGAGATATTTTACCAAAGAGGGAGGAAGAAAAAAGTGGGGGAGAAAGGGAAGAAAACAGCAGCCAAATTCTGTTTAATGGAGTTTTTGGCATTTTAACTGATTCAGTTATATCACCCAGTTCAGTGTGGTTTAAACAGCAACCCAGTCCCCAGCCCCGAGGTGAGTTCTAGGGTAGGCCAACTGGACCTGATGGCTGTCACTGTTTACTTCGATCTGCCTTGAGCTCTCTAGAGGAATTAGTTTGCTTTGATAAAGAAATGACTAAATAATTTCAAGCGTATGCAAGAAAATTACTATTCACATAGAAGAGAGAAAAGTAATGAAGAAAAATGTAAAGTGCGTGAAATATAGCAAGCATGGTATAGATATAGCAAACAGCAAAATGACAGAGGAAAAACAGTCTGTGGGTAAGCAAATTAAAAGTCAATCGATTGACTTTAAAAGCTGGGCTTGAGAAACAGGTTTAAAAATATAATCTAACTACAATGTCATCTAAAAAAGACCTCTTTTTGAATTAAAGATACAAAAGGTTGAACGTGAAAGCAAGCAGTATTCTGAACTGGTTACCCTTACATCCACCTAAACAAAAAATCGCCATGACAGACAAGAGACAAGATGTGGCACTGGATGATAAGCAAACATCTCAATATAAAAATTGTGATACTATATGATAAGCAAATGGTGATCAAAATGACGGGAGAAATGGCTGAGCTAGGGTGGCTCCAGTCTTCTGTCATTCACCTTCAGTGACAGGACACCAGCAGAGTAGCAAGGAAGTGGATCTAGGTGACAGGCAACAGAAGTCCCTGTACCCATCCACTATTACAGCACAGAATTCCACGCTATAGAGAATACCCTTTCTGCAATGTTTTCCCACCATTTCTGCATTGCTGTGAAATACACTGTACTAGTATTAATAAACATTTATTACTTTCATCACAAACATTGAAGAACCCATACCAATCAGCATCCCTCCTCCATTTTCCTTTCCATTAATGGATAAGAGGGAGCCAACATGCCAATAATCAATGGACACAAATTCCCCAGTAACACACTTCTTAATTTGTACATTACCAAGCATTCTGAACATATTATATGATTGGTTCAGTGCATCATGCTCAAAAGTTAAATGGCTTTTAAAAAACAGTTTAACTGGGAAGCTAAAATGTCCAAGGATCTTTTGCAGTATAGCATTTGAATTTTTTTTTAAAAAAAAAAGGTGCAAATGACTCACATTTTGCAAAAAATCGACCTCAGCCAACTTCCTATTTTAAAAAAAAAAGTGTACTACAGAAAACTAAACATAAGCAAAGGGGATAAAAAAATGTTATGCTGTGCATTCTATTCCTGGAAAAATTGTCTAGGTCTTTGGTGTACCAGTTTAAAATGCATCCTGTGCAACCTCAATCTAGTTACCAAGGCTACGAGAGGAAAACATTTATAAAGCAGAGAATACATACATTTTGCTTCAAGCATTCTCATTATAACAAGACAACTCTATTTTGTTCTTCAAGCTAATTTAGCTTTTCTGTGGCAATTTATCTTATTACCCAAGATTTCTGGAATTATTATAAGCATGTATTGTGTTTACGAAGAAATAAAATAAATTTTCCCTGTAAGTTATTCTTTCTCTGGTGGCTTACAACTCTGGTGTAATTTTAATTGGATTACTGAATCTGTCAGGAGAGTCAGTCATAAAAACATGACAGTTAGAAACTTATTGCTTTTCTAATAAGGTATTCAACCATGAGTAACTGTGAGCACATCTTCTCTCTCATTTTTCAATGATTATACTTTCCAGAGGAAAAAAACTAACCTACCCATGACCCATTGCACCATTAGCTGGTTTTACTATAAAAGTTTTCTGCTTCCTTTTTTTCTTCAGTTCTTTCACATAGTTCTGGAATTGAGTATATTCAGAAGGGAAAATCCACGTTCGAGGAACAAAAGTATAATCCTGAGGCCGAGACTTGATCATTCTGTAAATCAGATGCAAGAGAAAATAAAAATTCTATTCAACATTAGTAAATCTTATTTTTGTAGCAATTATACTATGAAGACTCTTAAATTTCTTTGTTCTTTCATTTATTCTTTTGTTTATTGTTCTACTCAGAAAATGTCTGTATACTAAACAATAGCCCAAACTTGAGACTATCAACAAAATAAAGAGATAAGAATCTCTGCCCTGTTTGTTACACATTGATTTATATTTTAACACAATGAATATTTTTGATTGTATACTATGCTAGGCACTGCTGAAGCAAGGGGAATTAGCATGACCTCTGCCTCCAGTGAATTTACAGATAGTCTTTGCATACAAGACAAAGTGATAACAGACTGGAGGAGAAAGGTCAGTCACTAACCCTCAGGGAGGATCAGGAAACACACATTTATACTGACACTGGTTCTTGGTGCTCCAGTCCCCCAAGGCATCCACAGACAGCAGCTCCTGACTTCTATGCCAATGCTTTAGAATTTAGCCACTTTTCTGATAAAACCATCTGAAAGTCTGTTCCATAGAAGTTTTATGTGAATGAACCATCAATTCAGGTGATGGTACAGCCAAGGACGTCTCCCGATAGCGCTGTATCTGCTAGAATTTGCCTATAGTGACCCCTAATGTGATGAAGATGTTCGTTCTGAGGGGAAGTAGAGGTACTGAAGACAGAACACAATGCCTCCCATGCGTTAAGGAAGTGCCCCACTACGGAGCTGCAGGTTTTACTTTAAAATGGGGGCTCATTCATTGCCCAGGCAGGCCTTGAACTCACAATTCTCCTGTCTCGCCTTCCTGAATTGCTAGGATTACAAGTTTGTGACACCAGGCCTGGAAAAAAAAAAAAGTGTTTCCTTTTTGATTGATCCAAAAATGTTAAGTATTTTATACTTATCAATTCTCGATTAAAATGAAAACGAAAAATGATTTCAAAAATATATTATTAAAAGTAATGTTTTCTTTTTAACTTTTTGTTTACTGTGTGCGTGTGTGTGTGTGTGTGTGTGAGAGAGAGAGAGAGAGAGAGAGAGAGAGAGAGAGAGAGAGAGCGCCTAGGCCTGCACCTGCGTTTTGCCTGGGTACCATGTGTGTGCCCGTGCTGCACAGGCCAGAAAGGAGCATCAGATCCCCGGGAACTGCAGTTACAGTTAGGAGCTGCCATGTGGATGTTGGGACTCAAACCCGAGCTCCTCTGGAAGAGCAGCTGGTAATCAATCCTAAGAACTGAGGCATCTCTCCAGCCCTGAAGATAATACTTTCAAAAGAGACATTTTTTTTTCTTTTTCTAAATGTGGTCTTTTATTATAAATGAGAATAGTCTGCAAATAAGTTTAGCCAGCATTAAAATGGAACCACAGTGGAAAGAATGCACAAAGGCAGAGACTAAACTCTGAGAGGAGAAGAGCAGAACACAAACCACTGGCAAAGCAACCGGACACTAACAGCATCAACCCATCTCAAGGACTTTCCCAAGATTTCACTTTTAAGTGATGTTGAGCTGGGGCAATAGGTCAGCAGGTAAGAGTGTAGGACTACTCACGGAGCAAGCATACAGACATGACTTCAAAGCCCCGGAGTCTAAGTAAATAGTGAGGTGCAGCCACATAGGCACTTAGAACCTTAGTTCTATAGGGAAGTGGAGGCAGGAGCATCCCCAGAGCTATCCACTAGCCTAGCTCCAGGTCAGTGAGAGACCTAGTCTCTAGAAAACAAGGCAGAGATTGGGAGAGCAGGGCACACGACTTACTCCTGTGGTCTCCAGGAGCATGCACCTGCACACACAAACATGTACACGGCACATTCATCTGCCCCTCCCTCCTCCTCCCCTCCCCCTTCGCTAACTCCCTTTCACATGGATGTACACAGATATGCCATTACCACCATGGGCAACAAAATGATATTATTTCCAACTGCATTTGCTTAAAGTATGTTAATTCCACAACTAGGCAATCTCAATTGAAAAAAAAAAGAATAATATTGACTGGTTTGATAGTTTGATTTTTTAAATAAAATTAATGCTAATGTTATAGTTTTATTGAAACACCTTTACATGTGTTTATTATATTTGACAATGACCTGAAATTAGGCTGAGATAAGGCTTTAATTAGAACTTTAAAAGGTACTATGTGGTACCTTTTTTTAACATATGCAAATACATATCTTACTTATCTCATGTACTTAAAAATTATCAGTTTTTGCAGCATACCTAGATATAAAAATTGTTTTATAAATAGATGTATAATTATAAATATTCACAGGAATAACATCAATGATAATCTTTAATAAGAGACATGCCATATTAAATTTTATGAATACTCCTTTATTCAAAAATACTGTTTGCCACTAAACATTCTCAAGCCGAAAAAAATCCAAGAAAGTTTAGCCAACAGAAATATAAACTGCATAAAAATTCCACTGTTTTGTCCAACAAAACAAATGACTACCTGTTACCAGTATTTCCATATGAAAGATTTATTCTGATTCTCGACTTTGGAGATGAATGCAGCATCACCCTAAGTGAGTGTGGGTATGTGTGTCTATGAGCGTGTATGCACATATGTACATACATGTTTGGAAAATGTTAGATATTTAGTAGCTAATAAACACACAAAGCATATGATGCAACAAATGACTTCTCCTGAGGTTTGACTAAAAATTGAACAAGAATTTACTTTTCTGTGTTATCAAGTTGTAATGAAAAGGGTTCTTGAGATTCTAAAAACTAGTTAGGGCCCAGCTCCACTGAAAGCAGTTTGTTTGAGTTTGTGCCGTTTCTCTAAACCTCAGTCACAGTGACATCCTGTGCAAAGTTAAAAATAGAACCAGGGACCCATTAGGACTGCTCTGCCTCTGAGTGTCTCTCTCCCATCTGACTAACTCATCTGAACACAACCTTATACAAGATAATACCACCACAACCACAGGATAAACTTTGTTCAGGCCTTCTCTGTACAAGAAAATGAAGATTACTTGGTCATATTTCTTGCTAAGAAATCCTTCCTACAGATCTCCCCCATTCCTGGAAAATGGTTGATCCTCTGAAAAATAAAAAGGTAAATATTAACATTTATTTAATCAATGAATCTGTTCTTTTATACTATAACAGTGAAAAACATCCTTTGAGGATTTTGTTCTAATAAATTAAACATTATTATATAAAGGATTTTAAATTGAATAGCTAATAATTACTGTGAAATAAAAATGATGATCAGAGAATAATTCTGTAAAATTTTGAAGAAATCTGGAAAAGTTAATAAAGTTTTATTGTTCTGTGTTGGATAAATGGCAATTTAACATCCAGACTGCTTTTTGGATCCAATGCATAAATACAGACATTTATAACATAGGACTTAAAATATTTGCTTGTCAGTTCTACCACACATTCTCTGATTCTAAAGTAATGAGGAGGAGGGAATAAGAGGAGGGGAGGAGGAGGAGAGATAGGGGAATAGGATGTGGAAATAAGAAGAGGAAGGGAGAAAGGAAAAAGAAGGGATTGGGGTACAAAGGACGGGGAGGGGACAGGAAGGAGGGGAAGAAAGACTGGATTAGAGAAAAGGAGGGAAAGGGGAGGAGGGGAAGGAGGAAGAAGAGGGAGAGAGGGGAGGATGGAGGAAGGGAAGTAAATAGCAAATGTCAATTGTCTCAGATTCCTTGTAGGCTTTTCTATTTGCTTTTCATTACTTCCAAACACCTCTGTATTGCCCTCTAGAGACAAAAGCCAGAAGGCATGTAGGCGATACCATACAGTCTTTGTCTATCCAGACACTATCATTCCCTGTCACTCATCCTAAGGTATGACACAAAGCATCATCTTAGACGGAATTCTTTCCTCTCAATATTCCTTTAAAGAAATAAGCTGGCTACAGGCTATGTAGGGTCATGATGCAGCCTGGCAACAAGACAGGCTGTCCAGGGAACTCAGAACTGAAACAGGAACAACTGAAGACTAAGCCCTACCTGATAGTTCTGCAATTCTGTGATCTTCTCCTGCTGAACAGCAGCATCACACCATATAAGGTTACTCGTTTCATCTTCATCTGGAGTCTTTATAAATCCCATTTCATCTATTACTAAACGAACTGAAAGGGAATGGTTAAAATGAACGAGAGTTTAAACCTTAAAGACATCGTTGTGGAGGCGTCTGTACATACATCCATAATATTCCATTCACAGACTACCCACTACTTACAGCATAAACTCCTTATGAGTGACAGCTGTTTTATCTAGGACCAAATTATTCTCCACAGCAGCTGGGAACAGAATTAGATGGCCCAAAACATCCTTAGTGATAGTCCGTTCAGATTTACCCGAGGGTTTCGAAAATGACGTCGACACCAGGAAAACACACAGAGAGCTGAGGCAACTCTACACAGGGTCATTTGCTCTCGTGGGTTTTCCATGACCTGGAACTAGGTATAAAACTGGAAAGGTAAAAATATCCTTGACCATCGGATCTCTTGTGCGCCTTTTACCTTTTCCAGTTCAAGTTACTATTACCACAAAAGTGAGTCAGCTCTGTTTACTCGGAGGACGAAACAGTGAGGCCAGATTTCCAGGAAGGATTTAGAGACTGGCTCTCTGCCACTCCACACCCTGAGATCCTACTGAAAAATTTATTCTCGGGGTTTACTTTTGACTAAATATTACTCCTCCTTAACTGGCATGTTACAGTTAATATACGGGCATTTGTCTTTCAACAGATCTTGAGTTTACAATGAAGATGAGCTGTACAGTGGGGGTGATAGCTGACTTCCAGTGAGTTCTGAGTCCTGAAAGAAGAGTGTGTTTGCATGGCGATGCTTCGGTGCTCGCTTTTCATGCTTCCTTTTTCTGAGAAGTGACATGGGAAATAGTAAAGATTGTCTAGCTGACTTAGCCCAGATGCAAAACTGATAACCAGGAACGGTTGGCCTCAACTCCTACAGGCTCTTGGCTATTTGCTGGAGAAAAAACTGGCTTCATATGCAACGATGCCTGGGAAAACAAGGACACCTAGAGAGGTTCTGGAACCATCTATGTGAGGGCAGCAGAATGTAGTTTGGAGTTATACTGACACCTTGTGTCATCAAGTGCACACACAAGAGGAAAGTGCCATCTTCCACTGTCACACACTGTGCCGCCATGAGATGGCCTCTCTCAGGGCTCTGCTGCCACTGTGCCATCTGGACACATACAGAGAGTGAGAGCAGTGGCAACAGGTCCTGCGGGATTCCTCTAATAAGCTAACAGCAGAAAACAGCGACAGGGGCAGAATGCCTGCATGAGACCAAATCTACTCCTGAGAAACGGAGACACATCCTCTGAGCCCGGACATAACTGGCGAGACCTGGAGGATAAGACCAGGTGAAGAGGCAGTGATGGCGGCCGCTCAGCTGGCTACTTAAGTCATGGATCTTCATGTACTAACACCAGTGAGGCCAGATGCTTCCAGATTACATAAGGATAGTTAAAAAGATCCACTCTATATTCACAAACCTTCATAAGATCAGACAGGAATAAATCTTTCTTATGATGACTTTCAAAGCTCAGATAGCTGACAACATCGAACATTACCGGAAAATCCAGTGTTGGGTAGAGACCTACACATTTCTTTCTGCTAAGTTAACGGAATGCGTTTTTCTTTGTTTGAACTGCAGCTTTAGAAATCCATTAGTGCCTTTTCAAAGCAGATCATCCCCCACTGCATAGGAGAGAATTCTTCCAAGCTGTCAGCAGTTTTACAGAAGTAATTTAGAAATCCATTACATAAAAGATAATCACCTCTCCCAACTCTACATCATTTCCTATGCCAAGGCGGTTTGCCCGTCCATCATGGGAAGTGCTGGGTTCTGGAGACACTCACCAATTTCAAACTTTGTCCCAGCAACATTCGCTGTAATGACGCCCTTCTTTTTCTTTTTTCTGACTTTCCTTTTCATGGTACATTGATAAGGCAGCTCTGTACTCAGATCCAGGGGCGAGGATCCTGGAATAGCTACAAAGAGAAATAGACACGCTGTCACTAAAATAAAAACAATGTGACCACAAACATTCATGTTGCCCCCAGCAAAGAAAAACTATGGATGGTGACACTTTCAAAGTTTTAATATCATGTATTCTGAACATACTCATAGCCTGTAGTATGGGCAGGTTAATCCACTTACCCCCTTCATGAGGCAGAGACGGCATGGTCACCTATGCCAAATGAGCAAGAGCAAGAAACAGGCGCACAGTAACAAGCTCTCAGTAAATCTGGAAGTCCCACGTTCATCTAAGTAGGATATGGCCCCAAATCACAGGAAGTTCCTATCATATTATCTGGGTCAAAGTCTCAGATTTCACGACACAAAGTTTTGGGCTAGGAAGCTACCTGGAGAGGTTTAAAAACAAAGTTAGTTCAGACACAGCTTCATGATATTTCTCATGCCAATGTCATTCTTGTGAGACGACACATAATAACGAAAGTTAATTTGTTCCACCAAAACAGTATGTGTTAGTCAGTTATTAACCCATACACAAAATGCCAAGCTACGGCTTTCTAGTCTGGAAGACACAATCTAAATAGAGAGCTTTGTTGTTTTAAATTATAGACACTTAAATATACAAGTTACACAAAGAAATTAAAAAATAAAATTCATTGCTGTCCATTGACCACTGAGAATCTTGAGATTTATCATAAACAGCTTAGCCTTTAAGCAAGCCTAAGAGGGAGCTTTTTGAGCCCTGTATTATAGAAAAGTTAACTGAGCTCAGAAAGGGCAAATGATTTTCTCTCCTTACAAAGAAAGTAAGAGGTAAAGTGAAGACCGAAATGAAGTGTGCCAAAGCCAAAGTCCCAGAGCCAGGAACCCATACAATCTTCAATGCAATGCTTCACCTATTACTGGGACGATGCTTCTAACATGAAGCAGTGAAATAGCCACAAGGGGAGGGGGCTGCTCACAGAATGAATACAGGCAGTTATCCAGTTTTACAGGGTAAGGAGGAATGGCTTCCTAAAGCAGAGTGAACCATGCCTTGGAAGAAGTTTGAGAGGCTCAAAATAGGAAGGACCATTACCAGGAGGATCTTATTTAAACAGAGAGAGGGACACAACGTTCTCTTAAGGAATGAGGTTTCGTGATTCGGCCGCATCCTGACAGGCCCCACAGTCTGCTCTATGGGCATCTGCGTGTTGCAGGATCCAGGCATCCAGGTCCTAACTATGCTGACCAGCTCACACTCTCAACTCTTGGACTTCCTTGAGCTCCTATGTCTCCAACCATAATGGGAAAAGACATCAAATATTCTACAAAACACAGGTGACACGGGAACTTTCGCCAAATTATCAGGGTTTTCAGAGCTCATTCAGCCACCATCCCTAATAGCATCATTAGCAGGACGACGTCATCAAAGGGCATTTACAGCTTTATTTATTCTCTGGTATCACTTTAAAGAAAAGAAAAAGTATAATTCACTATAAAAACTAGAGAAGTATTATTTATTAGAGATCCACAATGGGTAGGCAGTGCGTTAAGTATTTAAAGTGAGTAACACCGCCAGCAAGCTTTGAGCTTCAGTTCATTTTCCCACAATTTCTAGATATAGAAACCATGGTTTAAAACTGAAAACCAAGAGTTTTGACACAGTTCTGCCTAAGTGGGGATCTCATCCTTCTCGCTCTCCTATTTTTAGACATCACACTGACGCTACACAGACACATAAGGAGCTGGCAAGGCTAATTTGGTACTCAGGAAGACAGGCTGTATTCTGGAAATTCACAATACCTCAAAACAAACAGGGAACTCACAATAACATCTCCAAACTGATCTCCCAGCTGGAAATGGACTAGGTCACCACTCAGAAGGAAGAAAGGAGTGACTTGAAGGTCAGTTCTGTTCTGTTTAGAAGCTCTCTGATACTGAGATTGAGTTTGGGATGTTGTGCCCAGCACCTTGTTACTGGAGTAAACAAAGGTCCCTTTACAGTAATACCTCGCTGATCCCATTAGCAGTCGGTGACAAAGTCAGGCTCCTAAAACAGACCTGTTGATTTCTGAACTTAAATTATAAAACAAACAACTTCAAAGTGCAGAGTACAAATGTTCCATGAGCCACACTGGGATCTGAAGTGTTTGAAATGCTCCTAGTCATACATAGGCTCTACTCCATCCCACTGCCGATTTGGTGGAAGTGCCTGAGAAACTTGGAGGTCTTGATTGTATCTCCCCTCATCTGAATTAAGTTTATTTTAGGCAAGGAATTTGAGAAAGCAAACTTTGAACAGCACGCAGTTAAGCTATTGTTATCTACTCTCCAAAAGCTGGAGGCATGATTATTGACCTAGAAAATACTTTAAGCCAATGGTTTCTCACCAGAAATCAAAACACTCTGAACATCAGTGCCTGAGAACTCTTTCCTGCTCTACCTATCGCTTTAAAATCTAAGGAAGAGACGCGGCGGAGCAGCGGCAGCCAGACGCGGTGGAGCAGCTGCGGCCAGACGCGGCGGAGCAACAACGCATACAGGAAGAAGCTTTCGGGGACCGGCACAGCGGCAGACCCAAGTGGCGGGGACAGGCGTGCAATAAGGAGAGCAGATCGCCCTACTACAATTGAATCAAAGAGGTAGGCCTTTGGTTGGCCAGGTCACTGGCACAAGGGGAGCCTGGTCCTGTCCTGAAGATCCTTCGGAGGGGTGAGAGGGTTCTTGGCCTGCAGCAGGAACCACAAAAGAGAGTGAGGGCATTTTGTAAGCGGAGCCCTTGGCCAGCAGGGAAACCTGATCCGGTTTTTAAAGGACCCATTGGATAGGATCAATAGGAGGAGATGGGCAGGCGCCAAGGCAAGAACTCACCCAATAATCTGAAAAACAACATGAAAACATCAGAACCCAATGATCTTACAACAGAAGTATTTGAACAACCTAACACAGAAGAAGTGGAAAAAATCGACTTTATGAAGATAATAGAGTCCCTTAAACAACATGTAAAAAATGCCCTTATAGAAATGGATGAGAAGTATAACAAAAAGTTTGAAGAAATGAGTAAATACGTACATGATACCCTGGGAAACCAAGAAAAAACCATCAAACAGGTAATGGAAACAGTTCAAGAATTGAAAACTGAAATGAAGGCAAAGAAGAAAATACAAACTGAGGACCAGCTGGATATGGAAAATCTAGGCCAACGAGCAGAGTCTACAGAAATAAGCATAATCAATAGAATACAAGAGCTAGAAGAAAGACTCTCAGATGCTGAGGACACCATAGAGAAAATAAACGAACAGATCAAAGAAAACAGCAAAGCCAACAAATTCTCAACACAAAACATTCAGGAACTATGGGACACAATAAAAAAACCAAACCTAAGAATAATAGGAATAGAAGAAGGAGAAGAGTCACAGCTCAAAGGCCCAGAAAATATTTTCAACAAAATTATGGAAGAAAACTTTCCCAACTTAAAGAAAGATATTCATTTAAATATTCAAGAAGCATACAGAACACCAAACAGACTGGATCAAAGAAAAACATCTCCTCGCCATATAATAATCAAAACACAAAATATACAGGTTAAAGAAAGAATATTAAGAGCTGCAAAAGAAAAAAGGCAAGTAACTTATAAAGGTAAACCGATCAGACTTACACCTGACTTCTCGATGGAAACTATGAAAGCCAGAAGGTCCTGGATAGAGGTTCTGCAGAAGCTAAGAGACCATGGATGCAAACCCAAACTACTATACCCAGCCAAGCTATCGTTCATTATCAATGGAGAAAACAAGACATTCCAGGATAAGAACAAATTTAAACAATACGTAGCCACAAATCCAGCCCTACAGAAAGTAATAGAAGGAAAATCGCAACCCAAGGAATCCAACACTGCCTACAATAACCCAGGCATCTAATGACCCTTCACGAGCACATCTCAAAGAAGGGAGACACACAATCTCTACTACCAAAAGCAATAAGAATAACCGGAGTAAACAACCACTGGTCATTAATATCACTTAATATTAATGGGCTCAATTCACCTATAAAAAGGCACAGGCTAAAAGACTGGATACGAAAACAGGATCCAACATTCTGCTGTTTGCAAGAAACACATCTCAACCACAAAGACAGGCACCTACTCAGAGTAAAGGGTTGGGAAAAGGTCTTTCAAGCAAATGGTCCTAAGAAAAAAGCATGTGTGGCCATACTAATTTCTAACAAAACTGACTTCAAACTAAAATCAATCAGAAGAGACCAAGACGGTCACTTTATACTCATAACAGGAACAATTCATCAGGAGGACGTCTCAATCCTGAATATATACGCCCCCAATATATAAGCACCTACTTATGTAAAAGAAATATTACTAGAACTCAAGGCAGACATCAAACCACACACACTAGTAGTAGGAGACTTCAACACACCTCTCTCTCCAAGGGACAGGTCAATCAGACAGAAACCTAATAGAGAATTAAGAGAATTATTGGAGGTAATGAAGCAAATGGACTTAACAGACATCTATAGAACATTCCACCCAAATAGGAAAGAATATACCTTCTTCTCTGCAGCTCATGGAACCTTCTCAAAAATAGACCACATACTCGGAAACAAAGGAAACCTCCACAGATACAAAAAAATATCAGTGTCCACCTGTGTCTTATCAGATCATCACGGATTAAAGTTAGAAGGCAACAACCACGCTGCCCCCAAAAAACCGACAAACTCATGGAAACTGAACAGTCAACTACTGAACCACACCTGGGTCAAGGAAGAAATCAAGAAAGAAATTAAAGTCTTCCTTGAATTTAATGAAAATAAAGGGACAACATACTCAAACCTATGGGACACAATGAAAGCAGTGCTAAGAGGAAAGTTCATAGCACTAAGTGCCCACTTAAAGAAAACAGTAATGCATACATTGGGGACTTAAAAACACACCTGAAAGCTCTAGAAAAAAAAGAAGCAGACGCGCCCAGGAGAAGTAGAAGACTGGAAATAATAAAACTGAGGACTGAAATCAACAAAATAGAAACCCAGAAAACAGTCCAAAGAATCAATGAAACAAAAAGCTGGTTCCTGGAGAAAATCAACAAGATCGACAAACCCCTATCCAAACTAATGAAACGACAGATAGAGAACACGCAAATAAATAAGATCAGAAATGAAAAGGGGGACATAACCACAGACACAGAGGAAATTCAGAGAATCATTAGATCTTACTACAAAAGCCTGTATGCCACAAAACTGGAAAATACAAAAGAAATGGACATTTTTTTAAATAAGTATCATATACCAAAGCTAAACCAAGACCAGGTGAATGATCTAAATAGACTGGTTTCTCGCGAAGAATTAGAAATGGTTATCAAAAATCTCCCTTCGAAAAAAAGCCCAGGACCAGATGGTT